TACTATGTGTTTTTCAAAATACTGTGTGTGCCAAGCAATTTCAACGACTTTTATCAAACACATTGGCCTTACTAATATATTCTCTAGTGTGAAATTTCAATACCATAGCTTCTATAGTTTCTGAGATATAGCCAAAAACTAAAAAAATATTAAGAATTTTAAAGGCGGGAGTTTTATTTTTGTAACTTACTCCAGCACAAGGTAGCAAAAAAGGTGTATACATATTACAAAAGCGAAGCGGAAAAAAAGTGTTTAAAAAAATTATTATAATTTATATAATAAAATTTTGAAAAATAATAAATAGATTAATATATATTAATCTATTATAATATATAAATTATATTAATAGATATACTTTCGTTATTACTGACTGAAATTGTCGTATTCTTCCTTATTCATTAACTGAGCTTCACATATATACTTATTAATTCTAAAACTATATATTTTTTATATAATTTACGCTAATATTTTATTTTACTTACTGAATTCAATGGCATCAGAACGTTTTCATATATTTTTTGACCAAATCTTCACTCCAAAAATATATTTCATTTCATCATTTCTAGAAAAACTGTGAATATACAAAAAAAAAAAATTAGTTTAAAATATTTGTTTGTATGCTACATATTATCAAACACAAATTCATTTTGTTTAAAAAAAAATCCGGTCTTGGTAAGATTATGATATCCGAAGTAATTTTAATTTAAAACAAAACAAAAGCAAATATGTTCTTTGCAAAATTAAAAACTTAATAAAATTACAAAGCACTATTAAATATTTCTTTTATTTATTGAAATGAATAATATTCACATGTACATATACGGTGTATAAAAAACTATTTGTTTTTGCAAATGGGAATAACAATTTAGAACTATACACCTTTTCCTTTTTCAACAAATTTTTCCCTATATTTTATATCTTCTTCTTCGTCTGCTTATCTACTACTGGATGTTTGAGATTACATTGCTAAAGCTCCCTTTGTTTTGTGCGGTGTGTACAAGTTGCCCAATTGTAGGCCAGTCCATTGCCTGATGTTTCGCAGCCACGACATTTGTTTTTATCCAACACGCTTTTTGCCTTCTACTTTACCTTGCAGGATTAATTGCAGGACATGTTATTTTTCTTTAAGCATTAGATAACCTAAGTATGCTGTCATCCTACGTTTAATTGTTAATAACAGCTGACGGTCATCATTTATTCTGCTCAAAACTTCTGTGTTACTAACTCTATTTGCACACGGTATTTTCAACATTCTTCGATATAGCCACATCTCAAAAGTTTCCAGCCTGTTCATTATAGAAACTTTCAGTCCACGGTTCCATTCCATAGAGGAGTACCGACCACACGTAGCATTTTACAAAGCGAATGCGACTACTCAGATGAATATCTCGATTACAAAAGATGCTTTTATATTTTATCAAAGTGCTACGAACGTACTCAATTCGGCATTTAATTTTCATATCTGAGTTCCAATTCTCGTTCAACCAACAACCTAAATACTTTAATCTTGAAACTCTTTCAATCGTTTTGTTGTTAAAGCTACGCTGTCACGTGAGTTAGTTCCTGATATATTCATGATCTTAGTTTTGGAGATGTTCATTTTTAAGCCGAAAAGCATACTGTGGTCATTCACTGAGTTAAAAAGTTGTCGAAGTCCAGGAATACTGCCGGCAATCAATGTTGTGTCGTTCGCATACCGAATGTTATTAATGTTAACGCCATTTATATTTCTATATTGTAAGTCTATATGTTAGTTTTAATATTGAAGATGTAAATTGATATTAATAAAAACAAAAAAAAATGACTTTAACGCCAACATTATTGTTTACAGTTCTAATAGGAGGTGACTATAATGCCAAACATACAGATTGGGATTCTAGAATCACCCGAACTAAAGGAGGAGAGCTAACAAAAGCTATTGAAGAACTAGGTTGTTGCTATCACTCCACTGACACTCCTACTTATTGGCCTACTGACACTAACAAGATTCCTGATGTTATTGACTTTTTTATAACCAAAGAAATGTCAGAAAACTTTCTAAGCCTTAAAGATAATTATGATTTTAGTTCAGATCACTCTGCTGTCATATTAAAACTAAGTGAAAAAATAACTAAACAATTACTTAAGACAAGTTTGACAAATAGCACTACCGATTGTCTAAGCTTTTACAATTATGTCTAAGCTTTTTGAAAAGCTGCTATTAAGGAGATTGAAGTCAATAACAGAAAATAGGGGCCTCATACCAAACCATCAATTTGGTTTTAGAAGAAACCATTTTACAATAGCCCAGGTCCACAGAATAACGAATATTATTGAAAAAAGCTTGGAAAATAAAGAAATCTGCTTTTCTATATTTCTAGACGTACCACAGGCATTCGACAAGGGCCTTATATTTAAGTTAGGACAAATGTTACCACCGCCATCTGTAGTAATTTTCGAATCTTACTTAGCTGATAGATTATTTAGAATTAAACGAGACGCTGAATACTCCACGCTAAGAGAAATAAAAGCAGGTGTATCTCAAAGCAGTATATTGGGCCCAACGTTGTACCTGCTTTACACGAGTGATTTGCCACAAATAGAAAATGCTACGGTGGCCACTTTTGCTGACGATACTGCAATATTGGCAGTAGGAGCGAACATTGACGATTCGACAAAAAAATTACAGGAGGCAAGTAACAAAATAAGCCAGTTGAATAGGGATTGGAAAATGAAGTTGAATGAAGCAAAGTCGGTTCACATAAATTTCACCAATCGAAAAATAGTGAATCCATCACATATTAACTTAAATAGAACGAATGTAGCGATCCATAACTCAGTAAAATACCTAGGAATGATTTTAAATGTCAAGCTAAGGTGGAAAAAGCATATAAAAAAGAAACACGTAGAATTAGTCGTAAGTCCCATTTGGCAATTGATAATAAGATATTAATTTATAGGCAAATCTTTAACTTTAAACCAATATGGCTATGTGGCATTCAACTGTTCCAAATTCAAACCTTCCAATAAAGTTCTACAGGATATGGTAAATGCGCCATGGTATATACGTAACAGGGACTTAGGAATTCCTTTGGTTGTAGATGGAATTAGGAGTTGTGCTACAAAGCATAGGGCTTGTCTAGAACAGCATGTAAATATGGAAGCAGCTCGGCTCCTAGACAATGGCGTTATGACAGAAAAACTTAAACGAACGAGTCCTTTCGATTTGACACGAAATACCAATTTCCTTATGGAAGGTATTTAATTCCTGTACGGAAAAACCAAGTTAGCGCAGAGGTAATAGTTGATCTGTAGGACCCGTTTTATGCGTTCAGAGTTTAAGTGATTTTTTTAAGGCAGGAGTTACGCTCCCCCACTGACAGAGGAAAAAACCAGATAGCGCCGTCCTTCTTCGTCTTTCCAGATTTGTTCACCTAGCAGAAAAAAAAAATTGTTTTCAGTTGCTTCTATAAATATGGCTTCGGAATAAATATTAAAAAGTAACGGTTATACTAGTAAAGGTATCTCTGCCGTACGCCTTTCTTGATTTCAATCTTTTCAATCTCATAATCAACAAAGCATAAAAATATATTTTAATGAACATCGCGGCAATTTGGAACCAAGCCCTGGAGCCTAAGAAGCGCTTTCCTAGTTCCCACATCAGTCCTGAAATCAAACTGCATGTTGCCGATTGCGTTTTCACATTTTCCATATATCCGAGCATGAATTATTTTCAGGAAGATTTTAAGAGCGCGGTTCATCAAGCTTATGAGGCGGTAGTCACTACATTTCTTTGCATTTGATTTTTTAGGTAATGCTGTGAAGGTTAATTCTAACCATTCCCCTGGATATATTCCAGTATCATAAATTTTATTAACAATATCTTTTAAAATATTTAAATTTTCATTATCAAGTAACTTGAAAATTTCTATGGGTAACAGTCCAGGAGCTTTATTATTTTTGATAGTTTAATAGCTCTTTTGATTTCTTATGTTGTTATTTGAAGACCCGACAGCTCAGTGTCAGTAGGGATTTGCCCTAGAAGCATCAGTTCTACTAAAATCATTGAATAGCTCAACTATGTATTCCTTCCAAACCTGTTTTTTTTTCATCTTGGTCTAGGATAATATTGTTGTTGTTATCGACTAAGTTAGAATATATTGGTTCGCGGTATACTCCAACATCTTCCATGATTTTCTTATGCAGGTTAAAGTTGTCATGTAGATTCTGTAATGTGTATAATATTTTATACTTTAAAAAAATATTTTAACTTATCCTTCTTACACATATTTTATAGTAGAGGCCAGACAAGAAAATAAAATAAATACGCTCCTGTTACGACTTTGACAATTCTCGGAGCAAAGAAAGAAGCAAGTAGAAAAAATTTGGCTTCATTGTTTTTCCAAGATGCTCCTTCCTTTTGTATTTCTAATTCTCTAATTTTTTATATCACCAAATTAAGTGTACCTATAAATGACCAATTTTAATCATCAATGTATATGTCCTATAAATGACCAATATTAATCATCAATAGTACCATTTCTATAAACGTTGTACCCAGAATTCAAAAAGAAAAAATAAAAAATATGTTTCAATAAATTCTCCAAAGTGCATTTGATAGAACTTAATTATACTTATTTATTTTTATATTTATTTTGAAAATTATAGATTATTGCCTAATTACAGTTTGTATTAGTTTGATGGAAATATAATTTCTACTCAGCAATATTGATATGAAAATGTAATAGAGCGTTTTGGGAAAGTTTTTAGGATCTTATTATTCAATAAATATTTATTTTTTTAATAACTTACTTATGATATTACGTTTCATATTATAACTTATAATATGAAACGCTTGCGTTTTTTATAAAATTTCGCAAAGCAAAAATTTACTGTGATTGTCAATAAAGTTTCTATGTAGTGATTTTTTTTATTTTATGGCAATGCTAATTATTTTAATTATTTCGGTTTTCAAATTACGTTGCTAAGCCAAATAAATTAAAAAACGTCAACTGGAGATTTTTAATTTTCTAGTTTTGATTGTCATTATAGTGACTCCAATTTAAAAATTTTTTATAAATATAAAACTTGATTTAATGATTATTTATATATTTAAATGTAATTAAAATTTTAATTTAAAGTCAAAAATCAAAAATGAAAAGCATCGAAAGTATAACAAAGGAGTACCCTTTACATTATCTGGTGTGGAATAACGACTATGAAAATCTGGCAAAGGAACTAAAAACTGGAAAGGTAGAATAACGACAGTTCTCACATACAGAATTTAAGTGTACCAAAAGAGCAGAAAACTAAAAGCATAATAAAAAAAAATCTGCCAAATAATAAATTATATTCAAATATATAAAAAGACACCTTTTTATATTTCTTCCTAAGTTTATGTATAATCGAATTAGGTGGAACAAAAATTAAACATTTTTTAATTTTTTGCTCGTTTAGATTAATTTTCGTTTATATAAATTTTATCTCATATGGTATAATTTCATATTTTCGTACTTTTAGCATGATAAAGAAAAATTAGATCCAAGGGGTAGAACCCCTTTAATGCTAGCTGTTAAATTGTCACATGCACAATCGGTGAAGTGTTTGTTATCGGCAAAATGTAATGCTAATTTTGAATGCGATGGATGGTCAAGTAAGTTTTTCAAATTTTATTAGTTTTTTAAAAATTCCAAAATTTATACACAATATAATTTTTAAAACATGTTAGCTGTTCAAGAAGCAGTATGTGCTGGAGATGAAAATATCCTTACTATGGTATTAGAAGTTAGAGATTTACAAAGGCATATACAAAGAGTTACTCATGTTCCTCAATTGCTGCAGCATTTGCTTGACGCACCAGATTTTTATGTAGAAATGAAGTGGGAATTTACTTCATGGGGTAACTTTTATAATTAGAACCAATATTTAAAAAACTATTTAAAATAAATATTTTAGTGCCATTAATGTCAAGATTATGCCCGAGTGATACGTACAAGGTGTACAAACGGGGTGCTAATGTTAGAATAGATACTACCTTATTGGGCTTCGATAATGCGACTTGGCAAAGGGGTAACCGGTCATATATATTTAAAGGATTAAGTAAATTAAAAGATTAGTTAGTAAGTACATGTAATAATTGAAGTTATTAATTACAGAGGACTCTGCTACTATGATTGAAATAGATCACGACACGCACGAGGTGCTTGTAGAGCAGCTGCAAAGTGTTGTTGGCGAAGTAGAAGGCATTCCAATTCCCGTGGGTTCCGCTCGAGCTCGCCTAAGTGCTCCAGTTATGTCTAACAATATAGATATGGATAAAATTAGCTTTGAACGAAATAAAAGTGGAATATGGGGTTGGAGGCGAAATGATAAATGCGAAGCAGTAAATGGATATAACTGCAAGGTATATGGAGCAAGTAATGTCGAATTTATAACAAGAACCAGAACTGAACATCTGAATGAAGATCAAATGCGGGTATAATTTAAAAAAAAAGCGACAAATTAAAACAAAATTCATAAAATTATATTTTAGGCAAAAAATTCACGATCTCCTTTACATAATATACTTGGGTTTACTGAAGAAGAACTTGCCGCAAATCCTGAATTAGCGAATAATCGCGAAACAGTAATATTATCATATATTCCTATTATTATTTATACATTTTTATATTACGTTGCACTTTAAGGTATCGACACCAAACTCCGATGACAAAAGTGATAATGAAGTGACAAACGATGACAGTGGCAGTAGCAGTTCTGGGAACACAACTCCAAAATCTTTAATTCCTGAGGAATATTTTTCCGATGCTGACCTTAATGGAAGAGATGTTGGTAGACCTAAGAAAATTAATACTAAAGTAAGTTCTTTTTTATAATTGGAATTCCGTTAAAATGGCATTTATACTTCAATATTTCAGGTTCAAAGGTTTAAAGCAACTGTATGGCTTAGCGAAGATTTTCCAATTAAATTGCAGGAACAGGTATTACCAATTTTAGATTTGATGTCAACTATGGCTAGTCCGCATGTGTCAAAATTAAAAGACTTTATAACAATGCAACTGCCGTCAGGGTTTCCAGTCAAAGTTGAAATACCATTGTTTCATGTATTAAATGCATGTGTTACATTTGGCAATGTATTTGGTACTGTAAGCCCAGTAGATATGGTTCAAACTATAGAAGAAAATGAGCGACTAACTTGCGTTATAGATGATCAATGCTTTGAAATACCGAGCCATTATGTTAATAGAGGTAATTATTTTCATATAAGTTTCTGCTTTGTGTAAAATACTTTGTTAAAATTTAATCCTTTTTAGATCACGATCTTCGACGCCAATTCACATTAGAAGATGAAGACGATTTATTACAATTAGCTATAGAACAAAGTTTAAACGAATCGAGCGCTTCAGATATAGATAAAGTTGACATATGGGAAGCATTAAAAGGTAGTAGTGGGCAAAAAGATAGCACTGCTAATAGTCCAAATAGAAATTTTCTAAGTGAAGAAGACGCTCAGTTACAAAGGTTAGTATTAAACTCTTAATACAATTTTTAATAAAATTAAAATGCATGTAAAAATTTTTTTAACTTATATTTTCTTTATTCTACATTTTCTTATAATCGATGATTTTTTTATTAAAATATAACAATTTACGGACGCGTTTCATTATAAAAGATCAAAATCAGCTTCTATTGATAGTAGACGTGGCTGTAGTTCTGCAAGTTCTATAAAAAATGATTATAATTATATGAAAAATATTTTTAAATAGTAGTTTATGTAGAATTTTCATAAAAGAAAATACATTTTTAGACTAGTTACAATCTTCTAATAATTCACTTGTAGTGTCTTAGAATTAAAATGAATTTCAATTCAACTGATTAAAATTATTTACCACGAAATAAATATTCCAATCATATATTGCACATTAATTTTACTTCTTGGCATTCAGATTCTGCTATAAAATCGTGTGTAAAATTTGTTCGCGGAATTTAAACAGACTTATTTTTTCAGAATTTTAGTAATCACTTATGCTACTTTTCAACTCAAAATTTTACAAAACAAATATATTTCCTTATACATACGTATTTATTTTCCAGTAAATATCAAAAATATAAAAAAAATTTTTTGGAAAGTTTTCATATGTTTTGATGTATACCAATGTGCTTGTATTGCTTTAGTAAATTTTAGCAAGCTAAATATTTTTTTCCTTAATTCGTAGACTTCCTTAGCTTTTTAAGTACTTGACTTCTACTTTACGCAGCTTTTGCAAATGCAAAAAGCAAAAAGTTAAAATAATACTTTCGGATACTCATTATGTGTTTAATATTATTTAATTTATCTATAAATAAGCTTGGTCACATTTTGTTTTTGACTCCATTTTCTAATAACCATATGTTCATCAAGATTGGTTGTAAATTTGTGCAAATATTTTATAGTGCTGTTATTAATTTATGTAAATGGATATTTTGCGTTTATACTTGGATAAATATGTAATTTGCTATTGTATTTCGTTTTTAAGCTCATTATATTTAAAATTTTTTGCTTAAAATAATTTAAGTTAATTTTACACAAATGTGCAACCAATCAATTCATTGTCAGTTATCATATTCCAATTTCACTATTATAAATATGGATTATAAATGCATTTGTTTTAATAATCTAAATAACTTTAAACATTTTTAATTTTCAAATTCTTATTTTGTAAATTTATTTAAAAAAAGTTTTATTGTCATTTTTGTTATCTATATCTAAAAAAATTTTTTGGTAAAATAAAACATTAAAATCATTTTTCGAACTTGCTATATGTAATTTCTTGTGCACATAAAATACGTACATATGTGAATGTGTGCTCGATTTCTTTGAACTTTGAAAACTTTGATGACACCCTATATGTAACATGCGTACTGTTACTCTATCAATCAATATGAAAACGTACAAATATATACATATATATATACATATATATGTATATATATATATATATATATATATATATATATATATATATATATACATATATGTACATATATAGAGCGCTTCAAAAGTCATTAAGCCAATTTAAAAATATGGGCAGTGATGGTAATTCATTATTACAAACTCAAAATCAACCTCAATCGCCAGTGAATTCGTTAATATCTCCTGGATCTGATTTTAATCGATTAAATTACTGTGATCCAGATCTAGCAATGGCACTGCGCATTAGTGAACAAGAACAGAAAGAATATGAACTACAATTGCAACAGGAGCAGGAAATGATGGAAAGAATTTTAAAATTAAGCTTAGAAGAAAAATAAATACAAAAATTTTAAAATATTAAAACGAAACTTTTTGTTACAAAAAAAAACAAACTAGGAAAAACTTTATACTTCGTAATATAATTAAAACAAAAAACGTATATATTAATCAATTTTCATGGAAGTAAAAATAAGAAATTGTAAAATCAAAATATTTAAAATATAAAAATTGTACTTGTAAAAAATATGTAATAAGCCAAAAACAAAAAATGAAAAGAACAAAAAAAAACCGATACTGTAGTTTTTTTTACTGTTTGAGCATATTTAAAATATAAGAAATACAAACAATTTTTATATTTCTCCCAAAAACTTTTGAAATACCTGTTTATATTAATAATGCATTATATTAATAATGCGAGTAACTCGGTCAATATTAATATAAATTTCCTGGTGCAATCTGAATGCAACTGAGCATTCTACACTTTTAGCCAACAAAAGAAAAAGCCAAAAACTATTATCAACAAAAATAACAAAAATTGTACATATATATGTACAAAATAAGTATACATGTACCTCGAAATCAGTCTAGAGGCTTTCCAAGCCATTGGAGAAAAACTATGAGTATATTGTAACAGTTAAGAACATACTTTGCTTTTGAGTTTATTTTAAATTTGAAAGTCCGCAAACAGTTATTTTTTAATCCATGTATATTTCGTATCACACCTTAAACTAAACCATCTTTCTCGCATTAAGAGTACTTTAATAATAAAATGCTGTTTTAGAATTTTAATTCTTTATGGTTTAACTTATAATTTACTTTTTAATAAAATTTCCTTCATCTTTTATTCAAAAACTTTAACTAAATGAACATCATAATAACCATACTAAAAATAACAAGCAGCGACATGAATTACTGTTTACGGAAAACATTTTCAATCAATTATTGCAATTTAAATTGCGTTAACTTTTTTTATGTTTGCATTTTATTAGTAATTTTTGGTATTATGCCGAAACTAATTTTCAGTTAAAGTACACAAACATTTTTTTAATCTTTTTTATTAATATCGTTCGTTCTAAATAAAACCAATCATAAAGAAATTAGTTCTGTAACCCTTTTTTCCAAACCCTTCTCATCGTTAATTGAAATGCCTTGCACTGTATAGTATATGTAATAAAACTTTATATTTATTCTTATACAAAATAGCTATATTTTTTAATAAAACTTTTTTGAAAACTTATTTTTTTTCTTAAACGTATCCGTACAAATATAACAAATTCGTTTTTCCTTTTTTTTTTAAACTAATTTTAATACAAAGATACAAATTAAAATATACATACTACATATTTGAATTAAAAAAAATTTATAACGTTAACCATTCATATCGGGTGGAGGATTTGCAACACCGAATGCCGAAATAAATACATTTACGGTTGTGACAATAAAAATACCAACAACAGTAAAATTGTTAATTTTATTTGCTCTACACATATCCTTTTCATTTTTGACATTGTAGCGACTATTTAATATTAAACCAATACCAACAGCTATTTGAAATATTATACTAATTGAGATAAATGTTAAACTTGTATAATAATATGGATGACGATTGTATGATTCCAAAACATAACGTAATTGGTTTGCATTGGCGGATAACAAAGCTAAATCCATCATACCCTGTGCCAATGTTTTTTTATGCTGATAAATGTTAACATCAGGTATTGGCGTATCAACACCACTTGGTGCACCAATACTTGTAACATTTGGATCAAAATCAGGTGCGAATGGAAATGGGTTTAAACTTGGTCTACGTCTTGGTATTAAACCATTTGGTGGCGGTAAATTAGAACCCGGATTGTTATCGAAACCTGTTTCATTATCATTACCAGTTAAAAAACCGTCATCAATACCGCCATCATTATTTTTTGGAACTGGTAATTTATCACTTCCATCGTTTTCATTATTTTCCTCATCATCTTCTTCAAATTCTGGTCTAGCCCGTGGTGCTGCTGATGGATTTATTGGTATATTCACTGTTTCAGCATCTGTTATAGCTACATCCAAATCACGTCCAGTTCTGGATCTTGCTGGTAATATATTCATAAGATTTCTTGGAGAAGCCATTATAGGTTCTAATTCTACAGCAACACTATGTTCATCATTCCGAGTATTCCTTAATTTTGACATTTTTTAACATTAATTATGTTAAAAAATATCTAAAAAAAGAAAAATTGTTTTAGATTTCGTAAGTATTAATCTTAATATATATGAAGTATTTTATTTAATCAACTATTTCAAATGTAGAAATTGCGGATTAGAGAGGAAAAATTTTAAAAAAGACAAGTCCGTATAGAAGATATTATAATTAAACTGTATTTCAATCCAAATATATAAAAAAAATTCTGGACAAGTTTTGCAACCTTAAAAAAATTATATTGAAATATTCAAACAGCAATTGTTTAAATATACAATATTTTAATATTGACGAAAACAATATACTTACATAATATTTCGTATTTTGAGTTCTAGACAACTTTAAAATAGTGATTTAGCGCACAAAAAGTTTCAATTGCAATGCCAAAACAAAATATGAAAATGGAAATACATGTATTTTGATTTCAATGTAAATAAATGTTGTTTTAACCATAAATTCAAATCAATACTTTATGCACTGGTTTATGTATTGTAAAAATTTAAATTTTTAATAACATTAAAATTTCCAACTTCGTGTAAAACAGTTGAACAATATTAATATGTAATTGGGAAATAAAATTATGTATTGATTAATAATTAAAACGAACTGAATGAATTAAAAATTGTGCTTATCTGAGTTCTTCTCTAATGATAAATTTAATAATTTTTTTATGAAATGTCAATGAATAGCAAGTGGGAAACCATATTAATAAGTACATTCCTTTTTAAAATTTACTATAATAATTTTTTTTAAAACCATTACTTACGATCTAATACATAAAATTAAATTACAGCTGCACGATCAATATTTTTATTTAATCATGCACAATTAATATTTTTACAGAGTTGAAAGTTAAGCAAACGGATGTTCCTTCTTTATATCATTTATTACATAATAAGAGAACCAATTTTAAATTTGAAGGTATAAATTTATAAAGCAGCAAATTTCAATTTAAAAATTTTAAGTATCGAAAATTAATACTATAAATTTTGAAATTGTGAACTGAAAGTGTCCTATCATAAAACTGAACAATAACAAAAAGGACGCATCTGAAGGAAAATAAATTTATGGGGCATCATAATTAATTTTTTTGTTTCAAGCCATTAATTGTTCAAATGACATCAAATAATAATGAACCTTTCCTTCGACAATCATATATTATGTCACCTAGCTTAATTTGGCTAACATTTATATATAAAATTTATTTGTATCTCGAAATTATGTTAACTCCAGCTTTTAAATATTAAAAGGGATAATTTTTAAATAAGAACAAAATATTTTTGTAAATTCATAGCTAATCTGTAAAATATTTTAATTAATCGATTAAAAGATAACTATTTAAAATTCTGTATGCTTTCTTAACATATTCATTTCATATTTATTTTTGCATCCACAGACGTTTGCATAACAGCGACACAATAAAACTTTAAGTGAATATTTTTTTTTTTCTTTTATTAAACTGTTCGTATGATTAATCGTAATTATAATATAATATATGCATTTTTTAATTATATATTATATATAGTATTCTTTACAAGTCGACTTAGTCTTTGTTCATGTTATATTTAAACATTATTAAAAATCAAAAAGTAATTAAATTATTGAAAATAAAATATAAAAGGAAGCATAAACATTTTCTCATATCATATCTGCTATATGCCATTGTATAGGAATCTAATGAGGAAACAAAACTTTTATATGGAGACGGTATTCACAATTCAACAGGTTCGGGATTACAGGGTTCTAAATTCAATTTCAACTGATTTTAAGTATAATTATTAAATATTCTAATGAATATCTACATTAGTTATAGTTTGTAGGTGACGTAACATTAGAGCTTCCTCCAATTTTAGCACAGCTATCAACCTTGTCTACTGACCTTTAATTTGGTATATGGGTAATTTTTCTTCATTTTCTGGCTTAGGAGTTATTGAGAATAATAGTATGTACTGCAAATATTTTATACCAAATTTTTTTCTTCAATGTCTTAGAAAAATGTAAAACAACTGTTCAAAATAATGTACCTTTTCTGTTATGCAACTGTTCAACTTAAAAACCGAGTTTTCCATAAATTTGCAAAAATTGATGGTCCAGAGAATATTATAAGGTGCCTTAAATTTAAATCTTGCAAAAAAAAACCTTTTTCAACTGTACCACTTTTATTTCAAAACCTTTTTGATAGTCGACCTGTGAGACATAATGCAGATGAAAATTATTGAATAAAGCTTAAAAAAGTTAATCAAATACGATCAGCTGGAATTTTATTGGAAAGATCTTTCAAAGCTTTTTTTCAAAGCTTTCTAAAAGCATTGGTTTATTGTCCAGTTAATTTTTTCCCAAGATAACGAAAGTCAAAATTGATTAGTTGCAATAATTTTAAAAAAAGGTGGAAAAAACCAATATTATTTCATTTTTTTAAAATGAAGGCATTTTAACAAGTCTAAAATTGCACCTAGTTCATTCATTAACGTTAACAATCAGTCTCAAGTCTTTGCATAACCAGGACTGTGTCTATAGCCAGCTCTTATTACGTGCCCAACACGCAGGCGGCCGAAATTAGTGAAATTTCACAATTTTTTTTAATAAATATAAAAAAAAATTTATAGGTTTTTGTTTATTCAGTTCTAGAATAGTTTTAGCTTGTAGTATGTTCGAAAATTCACGCTACATACACTGAAAATATAGATTGTTCGGAAATTGCTCGGAAGTGCTTTCGAAAATTGAATCTGCAATAGAAAAATGTTAGAAATGTGGCGCAGACCTCAAAAAAAAACTTTGCATACTTTGTATATTAAAGCGTTACAATGTAGTACTTTCAGCGCAGAACAAACTGTAAAAGAATTTTTTTTTTTAAAAAAAAATATTTGCATTTATGCATCTTCATATGTAAGTTTCGAAAGCACTGAATAAAAAGTTTTTAAATTTTAATTTCATTTGAAAAAGTGAAATTGAGGTACATATTTGCATAATATTAAATTTTAACAAAAAGCAGCTTTTATTATTTTTTTCATATTGTATAAAGTACTATTTTTAATGCATTAAAAAAAGGTTAGTTTAATAAAATAAATATTATCTGCAACATAATAAAAAATAATTTCAACAATTTGAATATTTTCTAAACCCTACAGATGTCTGACAGAAAAACGAAAAGACTTAAGGTGCGCAATATAAAAAAAACGAGAACAGAAACAAAAACAAAAGGATTTAACAAAATTGTTGGCTCAATGACTAAATAGTGCGTTCAAAACCTGGAAACTCCTCTAATAATCTACTAAATTCATCTAAGTCCTTAAGAAAAATCTGTAATTTCTTTCAATAATAATTCCAGTTTATCTTCCGTTTTTGTAACAGAAATTGAAATCTCTTCGGAAAATAAACAATTAAATAATAATCTTAAGAGTGATAATAAAGTGGAAGATACCTCTGAAACTGGCTCAAGTAATAACGAAATTGATGACGAACATATGTTTAGAAATTTAAATGACCCTGCTTGCTGGCCTTTAATAATTACAAATAATATTCTAGATATTATAATAGAAAAAGACCCGATTCAAACTACCCACAAAAAAAATCATTTTCTCCGCATTATTTTTGTAGATTGATGCCAAATGGTGAAAAATTTAATCGTTAATGGTTAATATATTCTTTAAAAAATGATTTCATTTATTGTTTTTGTTGTAAATTATTTAGAAAGCAAGAAATAAAATTAACTTAAAAAGAAAAAGAAAATAAACTTAAAAAGAAAAATCAACAATTGAAAAATATGCTGAAAAAATATTATGTATTAGGGCGACCATATATTGAAACACACAGACGGCCAGGTAAGTAGACACGGCCCTCAAAACATTAAAGTTTCAAGGATGCATATACATTAATATTCTTTTATGTAGTGTTTTTTCGTACTTTGCATAAATTATAAAGATATGCTTACATACATATGTATGTATGTATGTCGTATGACACAAAATTACGACGTCAATTAAATACACAGTTAAAAATAATACAGATTGAATGTGTATTATTTTTGTTATTGAAATATTACAAAATTCATTTTTTAATTTCGTTTCATACAAAACTGTGGTGCGAGCAATATTTTAAGTATTATAATTTTATAGTATTACTATAATCAATATCACGGTATATGTGCATACTCACTCCATATTTTTTTACTAACTAAGTACAAATGTACCTCGGTGGGATAATTTCAATTCGAATTTCAATTCGATGTACGATTTTCGTGAAAATTCATGTTGAGCTAATAAAAAAGAAAATTCAAGGAAAAATATTCAGAATCAAGTCAGGGGGTTTTCGTTTATTGAGTTCTAAAATAGTTCTAACTTGTAGTACGTTCGAAAATTCACGCTACACACACTAAAAATATAGATTGTTCGGAAATTACTTGCTGCAATAAAGTGCGTTCAAAAATTCAATCTGCAATAAAGAAATGTTAGAAATGTAGCGCAGATCTCTAGCATAAATTTTGTCGCTGCTTCACGAAATTTTTTTTCTTTTTTAATTTAAATTTCTATTTCTAATAATTTCTATTTCCCATAATAATTTCTTCATATTTTGTTAAAATTTCCTTATATAATTTCATAAACAATACTATTTATGTTATTTTCGAACGATAGATTATTTAGAAGTTTCAGAATTTGTAGACTGAAAAGCTTAGCTTAAGTTTTTGCATACTGTTTAACGCTGCAATTTAGAAATTTTAGTTCTAATGTAGAACTTTCAGCGCAGCGTGCATAACGAAAACCCCCTCAGAATGCACGTGTCATTCTCTACCGATTGAGATGAATGTTTTAAGTAAAGTAAATAAAAGATCTGTCTGGTATAACAAAGTTTTTAAAAATTTTTAAAAACTTTATAAAGTTTTTGCATGCAAAGCGTCTGGGATAATACTTTTTAAACAAAAATGAAAGAAAATTATTACATTCTCATTTTCTCAATATTTTATTTATAAAATTAGTGCAGTTTATAAATAAAAAATCATAAAATATGTAATAATAAGTGTTAAAAAAAGAATATTATTTTATGAAAACTTTCAATTTATTTTATTTTATGAATAATTTTATCAGCGCCGGATTTCCTTTTTAAGCAAAATGAGTTTATGTTTGATAAAATGTAGCATACAGACAAATATTCAAATATTTTTTTTGTATAATTAAGTTTTGCTATAAATGATGAAATCAAAATAATGGAATGAAATATATTTTCCTTCATAAAGTAAGGATTTGGTCACCAAAAAAATATATGAAGACGAATGTCGTTGAATTCAGTAAGTAAAATAAAATATTAGCGTGAATTATTTATAAAATATTTTGTTTTAGAATGAATTAGTATGTGAAGCTCATTTAATGAATAAGGAAGAGTAAAACAACATACCGTCTACTTTAGTGAGTAATAACAATCATATTAATTAAAATTTGTTAAAAATTATACTGTTTTAGAATCTTTAAGATTTATAGGTATTTATATTAATTGTTATTAATATTGTTTAGAGTTGTTCAGAGAAATTGTCAAACAAAACTGATAACGTAAGAAAACAAAAAACAATTTTTTTAACAAAATATGTTTATTTTCGAGGGTAATAAAATATTGTGATATTAAAACACTTATAGTTATTTGCAATTTATAAAATAAATTTGTTCAAAAAGAAAAAAAATAACGAATTTTGTTTAAATTTAGTTTTTTTTAAAGATATCTAAAATGAAAAAATATTTTGAAATATTTTTTAGTTTTTACTTTGAAAAAATTTTTTCAACTTATCCTTCTTAAAAATTAGACATATTTAATAATAAAGGTCAGACAAGTAAATAAAATAAACGTATTTATTCGTTTATACTAGTTTGTATATACGAGTTTGACAATGGCTTCAAAAAAAATTTGGCTTCATTGTTTTTTCAAGATGCTCCTTTTGGTCGAAACAATGTTTTCCTTGGTTATGTCAGAAGGTTTTATTTTTGAAAAAAAAAAATTCATCAACAATAACTTTTTTTCCAAAACTTTTTAATTAAAAATAAAATATCTAACATGAGTTCACAAATGGTTTTTTTTGTTTCACACTCTTATAATCCAAAATTTTCTGTTTTTGGTATAACCAAAAAATATGTGTTTATGTTTGGTAAATACTCTGAAATTTTACGTTTAAAACATATTTATATAGTTTTTAAAAGTTTTTTCAAGTTTTCCATCTGGTTTATTTTGTTTTTAAATGAGAATTTTTTTTTCTTTTTGCGAGAAATTTTGTCATTGTTTCTCTTTTTAAAGTTTTTTAAAGTTTATATCAGACAGACCTTCTACATAATAATAATTTACAGTATCTTATTAAATTCATTTATATTGCAAGCAAATTCCTATAAGAATTATTAAAACAATACTTGCGCTATTCTAAGTATCAATACAGATATACATATACATACATACATATGTAATTCGTGCACCGCAAATGTGTTTGATTTTTTTCATATACCGCCATGTAAATTTAAAGTAATAATTTAAAATTTTGATATTTTAGAAATTTAAAAGACAAATTAAATTAAAAGACGGTGTATTAAAGAAAAGGCAATAAAAGTTGAAAAGTATTTTTATATTTTCTTTAAAATATGTATATTTAATTTTTAAATAAAACTCGGTAGCGAAATTTGTCAGCATATTTAGCATGCTAAATGCATACAAAAAAATAAAAATAAAACAATCATAAAAATGTTTTTGCAGACAAAACTCTCCTTTTTTAAATTTTAAAAGGTCATAAGGGTTTTAATGTACATATTAGGAAAGAGTTTTAGAACTGTGTAAGTTACCGCACAGAATATTTTTCCATAGTTGTAGCTTTCTCTGGTAAATCGACCACTTCTAATGTAGAGTATAGAGTATATAGGACTAATTCCATTGTACCATAAACCATAAATTATCCGTGACTTCAATAATGCGCTTACATCGTAAATTTTACAAAGTATCGCATTCCAAAAAGTTTCTTAAAAGCTCTTGATATTGTACACTTTTCCTAAATGCGTTTTATATGTAGTGGATACGTAAAATAAAAGTAAATCGGGTTTCGAAAAATCGAGCATACTTTTCTTATACATGTCATATAATCCTTGCCAGAAATACCCTATGAAATAAAATAGCATATAATTTATTTTGTTGCCTTTGCAGTGGAAATTTTCTCTACGTTAAAGCTCGTAAAATTAGCGATTCGCAAACCTTCTGAATTTGTCGAATTTCATCAGACAGCATTGCATACAACAAAGTTTTATAAAGGTATATTGAGGTTGGTAGCTTCAAATTTCGCATGTCAAATTTTCGGTTTTTCCAGAAAATCAATCTGTCGGTCTATCCTTCTGCACTTGGATATCTCATGCTATTTAGTTGTGTCACGGATTAGTGAAGTTTTGGGATATGTCACATTGCGGAAGCTGGACCGCTACTATGAGCAAATTTCACATTTTTGGTCATTTCTAAGGCATGTTAATTTAAAATTTTATTTATAAGTTTCGTCTAACAGTATTAGAAATCACCTGATTTTCAAAGAAATTAGGAAGAAATCACGGGTTTACAACTATAAACTTTTACTACGGGCTATGTTTAAATTTTCGCCCATATAAAGGAAAATAATTAACTGATTTCCAGCTAAAACTTATTAAGAGAATTATTGAGAAATTCGCGTAGTATGAAGTACCTTTTCTAAAAGTAAAATTAATAGTTTAACCCTTTAATGGAATAAATAATTGCATTGAACGCGCAATGGTCCAAATGGAATTTATAGTTAACATTCTACAACTTTTTAACCGTCATTTCAAAAATTTATATTGTAATATAAATTAAAATTTTATAACTTAATAAGTTAATATAAATTAAAATTATAAGTTAATATTGCAAAATCAAAACGACTAAGCCGAATAACTAACAAAGGTACATACATACATGCATAGGCAGACATACGTGCCAAAATTCATATAAATAAAAAGCTTTGCTAGTTTGATGATTTATAATCAAAATAGTTTGCTTACGCATAACATTGCACAGAAGAAAGCAAACAATTAGAATATATTTATAATTGAATTTTATATAAACCAAAAAAAAAAATATAATCGGTAAACCAAAAGACAAAACCAAAAATAATATTTTATTATCTCCAAAAGTGAGACAAAACCAAAAGTTAAATATTTTCAAAGTACAGTGCCAATTTTATTCCACAAACATGCTGGATTCTTACGTATGTACTTATATGTAAAATAATACACTTAATTTTTCGTATTAAATGAGCACAAAAAATAGCGTGACACCGTGACACTTTTTCATTTATTTACATTCATTACGTTAGAAACAAAATTTACATATGCATTTCTTTATCCTTTTTTTTGTTTTAATTAAAAAGTGCTTTAATTTAAATCATAATCTTATTTTTGGAATTACTATGTTCACTTAATATTTGCGTCTCTAGTTAAGTCAAAAATTTTCATTAATCAATTCGTAAATAATTAAATTTTAATTAGCAAGTAAAGGTAAATTTAATGCAAAATTATCATGAATATGTAAATTTAGTTTCTTAAATTATTATGTAGTATATATTTATCAATGCTTTACGAAAAAGTAAAAAAAATTACATAAAATTTTTAAAAAATTATTTAAATAAATAATTCTAAAATTATTAAATTGTTTTATTATACATATACCGAACACGTAAAGCGGTGACAAAAACTTCTTAAACCGAGTAATGCAAAATTAATACTAATCTAATAAAGTGCTAAAAAAACATATTCTGTAAAACAGAAGCCTATTAAAATCGCTAAAATGAGAGAATCAATAGTAAACAAGCAACAAATGAAGTCAACTCAATATTAACATTCAACATAGTGAGAATAAATAAAAGTAAAAAATAAATGCTGAAAACCAAAATCACGTCAACTCTTTGCACACATTGTGTATGCATATACATATGTACATATTATGTATAAATATATCATACAACTTAAATTTCTTTTTTGTTTATCTATTAAGTATTCGTGCCCACATACATAAGAGATATACATACTTGATCAAGGCAGTCGTTTGAAAATGAACCTTTTCCTTTTGACAACTAAGATGAAGTAATTTGAAAAACCGATAATTTGAAACCCATAACTTGAAGGTTAATTCATATACAAACCTGCTTGCTACTTGTGTTAAAAGTTAAAAGAAATTGCTCGCAACATTTCTTGGTTTGCAGAATTTAAAATTTTCCTAATATATTAAATGTAATTCATAATACATTATTTAAAGATGGTATTTTCCGGAGTTTGAACCTTGTAACTTCAAAACGAAGGTGTACGAAAATAGCTCACAGTTACGTTTTAATGAATTAATTTAAGTAAAATTTATTTGACTTTAAAATTTTTACTAGTAAAAAAAAACGACATACCAATGTACGAAAAGAAACGCATAAGCATTTTTTCCAATTTTGTAATACTCAGAAGTAAATTAAATAATTTCGTTTTTTCGAATGAATAATTTTTTAATACAACTTGTTTTTTAATTTATATGAAATATAAACAAATAAGACATGCAATAGAAATCCGATTTAGAGTTTCCGTTAATTACGTATATATGTACTAAATTATGTTTGCTTTAGAGTAAAGGGAATAGTCAATATTAATAGTGGTAATCAAAATTTTAAAAATTTGCACCTAATGAAATATAAGTGAAAATTTGAATTACAGAAATAATTTTTTTAGCTAGTATTAGAAAAATAATCCAATTACATACATACATATATTCAATGTTAAAATGAATTACCTTCTTGTCGATCTTGTTTACTTGACGTTATTTCATATATTTAAAGTTCAATATTATTTTTTTTTTTATCTAAACACTGAAATATACTAGATATACAAACGTACATATGTATTTATAAGAGAAAATAACTCTAAAAAAATCAAAATAAGATTTAGATTAAGTTGAAAAATTTTTAAATAAATGTATAATAATATTATCTTATAGTTTACCGTTAATAATGTATAATACTATTTTGTAGTTTGTGTCATATTCTCTTTTACTCTTTGTTTATATATTTAGTTAAATATTTCGAATTGTTACAGACTAGTTTCATTTCGAGTTCTCTCTATATATAAAATATTTTTTATACGAGTGTGGAGTAAACGGCAAATTGTATTTCATCTCTTGACTTTCTGCCACACTTTATTTCGGGGAAATTATGCCTTTTCGAATAATACAATTGTATCAAACCGGTCATTTGGTACAATGTAACTAATTATAAATAAATGCTCGTACTTATATATGTGCCTTTATTTCAATTTTTATGATCAAAGTGAATAATAAGATATAACAAATATCAAAAAAAGTTTAAAAACATAAAAAGGCCTCAAATTGGGTGGGTGAAAAACCGGAACCCTGACATGATTAACTATCCTTAAGTAAAAATTTGAGCTGACATGATGAATCATAAATGTTAAATTGGTTTTTATTTTTTTTTATAAATCAAGCACATCGATGAAATGTTTCAAGCAATCATTAGGAAAATGTTTATAAAATTTTATTTTTTTTTAGGCTTTCCCCTATTAAAAAGAACTTACTATGTGTAGGAGTAAGAGATTTACAACAACATTTTCAGAGAGTTTCAAATTGCTACTCTTTTAAAATAAAGAAAATTTATTTTTTATTACACAAAAAGCGACCTATAGAAAATTCGCTAAATATTTAATTTTTTTTTGTTGTATAAAATCTAAGGCAATTATATATGTAAGTATTTCACAATCAAACGTAATCTGCTCTTAAATTTACAATATATCTTTTTTTTTCTATAAAAAACATAGAACACAAGTTTTTTTTTAATATTTCTAATTAAAAAAAAATAATAAATGCGTGTTTTATACCTACAATTGATTACATAAGTATATTATATTATGTAACTACGTGCAAGCATGTATTTTTGTATTAATACATAATATGTATGTTCAATGAACGTAAAAAAAATTCTTTATTTAAAAAGTTTCCAAAACAATATTGATTTTGACATCTTCAAAATAGAAGCGATTTCATACAAATATGAATTTGTGTATAAAATATTTTGTATGAAATATGAATAATTAAAATAATGACCAAATTTTTTTTAAAAACCATTATTCATATTGTTATAGAGTGCTGAAAAACAGAATATAAAAGTAAAATTCAAAAAACTGTCATAATGTCATAATTAATTTTAATCTATCGCATGATTAAACCGAACTTACATGTTATGCATAAACGTGAAAATACACCAATATGAAGCTGTAAAATTTCAAAAGTACATGTATGTATAGCTACAATGGACCACTCGGTAAACGAAGTAAATTGCAATCATATGAATGTAAATGCATTATAAACTGCGTATGTACATAATTTGCATATAAGAAATTTATCATGCTCACAAAATAGCTTATTATAATGGTCAATAAAGATTTATTTCAGAAACTAAAAGGATACCGTCAATATAAGTATAAAGGCTCTGAGACTACCTTAATAATTTCATACTGTCTCGGCAAATTTAAAATATCTCTTGCAACTCACTTCATTCGAATTGAAAGAAAAATATGAAAATATGCAAATATTAATTTTGTCGAGTTTTTTTTTGAAATTTTAATAATACATACAATTCTCTGCCGAAAAAATACCACTGTTGAGTCTTCTTTAGAATGAATTTTTTAACCACAGCTTGATATTACAAAATAATTCCCCTTGAATCTTTTAACTTTTTTTATACACTTAACAAAATTTGTTAAATTTTATCTCTTATTTTACAAAACATATAGAGAACATTTTAACATTTTAAATTTTTAATTTTATAAGTATATTCTAAATAATATTTATGAATTACTCAAGAGAGTATTGAAAAGAAATTTATGGCAAACCGTTATTTTATGTTGCATTGAAAAATGACCATTGCTCAAGGTACTTCCCAATAATAATCAAAAGAGTTCAACACTACTCATTTTAAATTAAAACAGAAAAACCTTTACTCTAACTTTCATACGAAAGTAATTCTCCTGATCAGTTTGGCAAATTTATTAAATTACTCGTATATCAGCTTTTTTCATTTCGCTTACAGGTTTGTGCTCATTTTTTACAGAATTTGAAAAAAAAAAATTTGAATGTGTGGGATATAAAAAATCGATGACGTAATTATATAATAGGGTTTATTTTTTTGTAATTTTTTCATTAGTATATTTTTTAAATACTCTTAGATTAGTCTATTCATATACTTAAAGAAAGAACAAGCAGTAATTAAAAAAGTATCGCCGGGCATTAGTATAAATATTATTTAATATGATTTCGAGTGCTCAAATTAAATCAAATTTAAATTCATTTATTAAACTTGAATCTGAAAATACATCAGTTACAAATCTTCCAAATATTCCTAGTACAAATTTAGAAAAATTTGAGAAAATAGCAAATGATAATATAATAAAAAATTCATTTGATGCTATCGATATTTCATTTATTGATGAAGAAGAAACTGAAGGTGAAAATGACGTTAAATTGCCATTATTCTTTGAAGAAACTAATATAAACTATGAAATAGATCATAATGATTTAGAATTAGATGAACCAGATACAATGTTACACAGTCGAATGTTGACACCACTACCAGCACAACAAGAAGTCGATATTAATGCATATCAACATAAAAAAACTTTAGCTCAAGGAATGATGGATTTAGCTTTATTATTAGCAAATGCAAATCAATTACGATATGTTTTAGAATCAAAATCAATTCACCCATATTATTCAGTTAATATTGTATTATTGGCAATTAGTATATCATTGCAAATAACAGTTGGTATTGCTTTAATTATAAATAGCCAATATGGAGTTAAAAAGGAAAGGGAAATGCGTTTAGCAAATCGTATAAATAACTTCACATTAATTGGGATATTTTTAATTACAATTGTTAATGTTTTTATATCAGCATTTGGGGTAGCTGACAATTTATCATCATCATGATTAACACCAGTATAAAGTGACCTACTTTAATATTATTAGCATTTAATTTTGTAGATATTTATTTTAAAACTATTGTGAGTGAAAATATTGTGGCTGTTCAAAACTAATAACACTGGAACTTTAATATTATTAGTACATATGTACATACATATATAACTTTTGATCAGCAAAAAATTAAAATCTGCAAACTTATCCGGGTTTCAAATAATAATACTTAATTATTTTATGATTAAATACTATTTATTTTTAAATTAAGTATTGAGTCAAATCAATCACTTTCAGGTCTATTAATTTAATTGAGAATAATCCATATTTCTTTACACGTTGAAAAGTTTTTGAATTTTATTTTTATCTAAAGAAAATTAACTCAAAATATGGAAGCATTAAGGAATTTAATTAAATAAAAATATATTTAAAACATATAGGTACAAACGATGTTATATTTGAAAAAATATTTGAAAAATTATTAATGAAACTACAAAAACTTGAGATGACATTAACTTTAGAAGATGAATTATTTATAAAGCTCTAAGCCTATTTACTTGAGCTTGAAATATTTTGAATACATATGTATATCTTCAGTTATACATTATTTTAAAAATATTGGCTTAAGATACATGTGTTAGTCCAGTAATACTTTAGAAATTCATATTATAAAAGATAAAAACATGAATTAACATAAAAATTTTTCTTTATTTATTGTTTTTAAGTAAGTAAAATATGGAATGTTGTTCTCCATACGAATCTCTAAATATATACATATGTTTACATAGATGAAAGCTTTTAATATAGCAATATTTTTTTTTCCAAACTCAGGTTTATGTCTTCAAAATATTCAAACAATATTAAAATTCGTATGATATATTGTGTACAATACATTAAAGCATAAAAATTATTTGCATCTGTTAAATAAATTGAAATTGACATAATATTGCGTTAACATGATATATAACATGAAATTTACAAAATGAATTGCACAAAATAAATTTTTAATAATAATGGACAAAAAAACTTTTGAAATATAAAATATAAAAGTGGTTTAAGTAACTTAAAAAGTAATATTTAAAACTATATTGCTATTTTAAATTTTGTACAACTTCTGTTAACTACCAAAGATGAATAAAACTTAAAAATTAGAAAATTTAGCTAAAATAAAATTTCACAATTACATATTTTAAGAAAAATTTTCCCCAAATTATGTACTAAAATTTGTATTTCTTAAGGTTCAGTTCAAAATTTATGATTTTTATGGAATTTACAAGGTGATTAAATCTTAAATTCAAAAATATCACTTCAGAAAAATTATAGTAATAATTTATTCTGGTAATTGTTTATAGCATTGTGTAATGTAAAAATTTTAACTATAATTTTGCATAAAAACTTTCATGCACAACCATTTCTTTCGAAATATCTGAAATTTTTCTACAACCCATCAATCTCATTGTTTTTTCAAAATCTTGTTTTAGTATTCTGAGAATGCTCTCAACCCCATTTTGACCGTCAACAGCTAATCCCCATAAACATGGCCGACCAACAAATACCATTTTGGCACCCATTGCCAATGCTTTAAATATGTCAGTTCCATTCGAGAAACCACCATCTGCCATTATAGTGAGTTCGTGACCAACACTCTTTACAATTTCTGGCAACACTTCTAAGGCTGTCGGTACTGTATCAATTTGTCTTGCACCATGATTCGATACAATTATTCCAGAGCAACCATAATTTTTAGCTAAAATTGCATCTTCCTTTGTTAAAATACCTTTTACAATCACTGGAAGCTTTGTAAATTTTATTAACCATTCGACACTCTTCCATGTTAAAGTGGGATCAAATTGTTTAGAAACATAGGCATTAATTCCAGAAATTTCATTATCACTATCGCCATTCAAGCTGTTTGCAAACAAACCATTAAAGTTTTTTAAACTGAAATAAAGAAAATCATTCAAATTCGTTTTTTTTTCAATGTTCAAAAGTGGTTTTCTAACGATAAATGTGATGGTAGTTCAAATTTATTTCTCATATCAGCTCGTCTTGCGCCAAAAACTGGAGCATCCACAGTTAAAACAAGGGCTTCAAAACCAGCTTTTTCTGCACGCCGAATTAAGTTTTCGGTTATTATTCTAAACGTAAGAAAAAAAGAAATTATAAAATTTAGAATATTTATAATTATTGTAATTCAATTAAAATCGCAGCGGGATAAAATAAGAAATGGCCATAGAAATAGAACCTAAGAGGATATATTTAACAAATATATTTCACAAATTTTCTTGTTCTACTATTTAATTTAAATATTTGTATTTAATTTAAATATTTGAAGAGTTATTTACTTGAAGACTTATTCTGAAGATTTGATTGGCGATAAAAGATAATACCTGTCTTTATAGATATATAATTGAAACCATTTCGTAGTATTAGGTGCTTTCTCCGCGACTTCTTCTACGGATGTTGTGGCGATAGTACTTAAAATAAAAATACTCCCTAATTTACCAGCTGCTCTAGCATTTGCAACTTCACCATCTGGATGAGCCATTCTTTGCATTGCTGTAGGTGATACTCCCAAAGGCCATTCAAAAGTTTTGTTTAAGACTTTGCAAGTTAAATCAATTGAACTAACGTCTACTAAACAACGCGGTCTCAAACGATATCTTAAAGAGAAATGAAAATTCAAACTTGTATTGAAAACAATTAAGTATTATACAACAAATAAAATTACTTTTGAAATATATTTTTGTTTAGTTTTAATGAAAATTCATCCCCTGCTCCACTTGCATAGTAGCCCAATGCGCTCTTCTCAAGAAGTTCTTTTGCCTTGGTTTCATAATCTGCTACGCAAACTAAAGACATTTTTCAAAGTCAAACCTATAACTATTAAATAACAAAAAGACCTGTACGTTTCAAACGTTTTTGTAAGAATGTTTAATTTGAGATAAGGTTTATGAAATTCACTTTTTTCAGCTCATAGTCACAAATTTTGTTTTTTTTTTTTTCAATTTTTTTATTTTCATTTTACATTTTGAAATATTGAGAGGTCTTTAGTGATGCTCTTTACCAGTTGCAGATAAGAAATTTAAAATAAACTTGTATAAAATTTGATGTAGTAAATAAATACAATTATTTAGTTTAGTAAATAATAATAAAGATAATGCCTGTTTGAATAATTTAAATAAATTTAATAGTCAACGTTCTAAATCAAATGAGATATAACTTTTGCTAACATAAATGTAATCATTATCATTATAATAAAATATGTATTATACATGTACTTGCAGACTATGTTATTTGACGATATAGAAATATAATGACACTTAATAAAATTTAAATTTTCTTGAAGAAATGATCTAGAATAACTGTTAGTTTGTAAACATATGTATGAATGTATGTACATATTATATTTTCTTTTTCGCTGGTTTTGAGATTCTTAAAAAATATAGTCCATTATAAGATTATGCAATTATGTCCTTTTCAACTGCATATTCGGTAAATAATTTTTTGTCATTTAAAATAATTTATTAAAATATTCAAAGTTTAAAGACTCAATTAGTTCTTAAAAAAATTTAAAAAAAGATCGATACGATATAAAAATGTCAACCAGAATTTATTCGGCTTTTGATTACCTACCTTACCTAACAGAAATCAAAAATCTATAAATCAGCAATACATAATTCAACAATACATAAATTTCTTAACTTTTCTTTTTATTTTAAACAGCCAAGATTACAATGTACGTAAATATTATAAACAATCGTTTTATCTCAATTTCATTCAAATAAGGCTCTTATTCTATGGATTTTATCAAATTCGAATATATCCATCACTTTAATCCTTCGAAAATTAATTATTGGTAAATTTTTGAAAATCATGGTACAAGCACTATAACAAATTTATTTTGCTGACTTTTAAAATATCGTATTATGTTATGTAAATTTACCATGAGATAAATTAAAAGAATAAGCTCTATTGGAAAAGTACAAAATTATCCAATTTACAAAATTAAAAATATTAGTAAATTTTAAATTTACTCAAAAATTTTTTGTATAAATTAAAATACTCTGCAACTCACAAAGCATTAGATTTTTACACTAGTTTAACATTTCATAACTAAATATGTTCAATTTTTACAAAATATTTTTTAAGTATTTAAAATTTATAAAACCGCCCTTTTTTCATTATGTGTGATATTCTTTATCTTAGAAAAAAATAATTAAAGTAATTGCACAAAAGCTGAAATACATGTACAATGATTTAAAATTTCTAACTATCAGTTGCAAAAGTATTTCCATCGTAATTATTATACATTTATTATATTGTTTTACTAGGCCTTGTTTCATTAATGTAATTTTTCTTTTCTTATATTATATAGTCAAGTAGATACAATTATTTTACACATTATTAAAAAAACTACACTATATAGCTGCTTCAATGGTAGTTCTACAAAAGTAAAATTTATATTAACAGATAACAAAAATATAAATGGCTGTAATGGATATTTACAATTATATACACTAACCAGTTATGCAGGAGTTTTCAGTAAACAGCACATTAAAAATTTTCAAAAATTATAAAGATGGCAGATATTGTTTAAATTATTACTACAACAAAATAATATAACCAGTATATAATTACAGACACTAACAATAAAGATAAATTGAGACCTGAATCCAAAACTGTAGTCTTTTTTACTGTCAAGTATTAAATATTGTTGGCAATTAATTCGAATATACACAATTTTTTGATATTTTTAAAAACTTTTTACTAAAACCTAAAAGAATTTGTTTTTTTTTCAAATAAACCTTAACAAAAATATTGATTCCTTAAAAATAATTTAAGGTAACATTTTTTTTATATTTTAAGTAGCTTTGAGTACATACTTCAAAAATCTAGTTTAAAATAAATTTTCTTAGACGGTAGGTAATCAACTAAAAAAAAGTATGAATAAAAAAAAAACAAAATTGTAAAAAAAGTAAAAAAACTACAAAGCTTAAACTTATTATTAAAATACGAAGAAAATTTAGAACTGCTAAAAAAGTCAATCAATTTTTTATCAATCACTAGATTTTAACCCTTAAGAACTTAAAATTTTCAAAAAATTTAACATAGCATAAAATTTTCAATAAATTTTTCAATAACTTTTTCAACAAAAAAAAACATTTATCTAAACTACACAAAAGTGCTACAGAATATTTAAATTTTCTTTAACATCTCGTTTTATTCGTAAGTCATGAGCAAGTCTTCTCCCTCTATTTTCATTCCATTTGTAATTTCTAGTTTTTTAATGACACCAGCTCTTGGAGCTTGGACAATCATTTCCATTTTCATTGCTGATAAAACAACTAACGGCTGACCTTTTTCAACATGATCACCTTCTTTAACTCGTATATCAATTATAGTGCCTGGCATTGGGGCTCCAACTTCACTTGCATTCCCTTTAGTTGCTTTTGGATGTATATGTAGCTCTTTCACTGCTTCTTTATCTCTGATTAGAACTGATCTTAGTTGCCCATTTAGTTCAAAAAATACTTCACGTTCACCGTTTGGTGTTAAATCTTCGGCCATTGCTAATGTTTTAAAACTTAGTGTTTTACCTTTTTCTATAGAAACTTCAAATTCTTCACCAACTTTAGGGCCTGTTAAGAATATTCTTGTATCTAATTTGTCAACTGGTCCAAACTCATCCCTGAAGTTCAAAAAATCATTAGTTACTTGTGGATACAAAGCTGCTGACATAACATCCCAATCTCGTACGATTTTGTGAGATTCTTTTAAGTCCTTTTTTATTTTATCAAAATCTAAATGTTGTAGTTTTTCACCAGGTCTTCCCTCAATACGTTCCATATCTTTTAATACACGTGATCTAAACGGTTCAGGGAAACCACCGTAAGGAGTGCCTATCGATCCTTGTAAAAATTCAACTACAGATTTTGGAAATGATAATTCTTCAGCTTTATCAACAACCTGTTTAGCATCCAATTTGTTTTGTACCATAAATTGAGCTAGATCACCGACAACTTTTGAGGAAGGTGTCACTTTAATTATATCACCAAGAATCAAGTTTGCTTCGCGATATGCTTTTTTAACATCTTCAAAGAAATCACCCAAACCCAACGAATAAGCTTGGAATTGTAAATTTGTATATTGTCCACCAGGAATTTCATTCAAATAAACATCAGCGTTTCCTGATTTCATTGTTGTTGTGCATTCAAATGGTGCATAAAGCGTACGAGTTTGCTCCCAATATGCGGAATATTCAGAAACATCACTTAAATTGATTTTCGTATCTAATGGTGACCCCTGAAGGGAAGCAACTAAACCACCCATACTTGGCTGTGATGTCATACCAGACATAGAATCAACTGCAACGTCCACAACATCAGCACCAGCTTCAGCACATGCTAACATAGCAGCAACACCAGCTCCTGATGTATCATGAGTATGAATATGAATCGGGATATCAGGATGTTTATCACGAATTGCGGTAATCAACATTCTTAAAAAAAATAAAATGAAATATACATACATATGTATAATTTCTTAATTGTATTGAAAACAGATGAGAAAGTATTACTTAGCAGCTCTTGGTTTTAATAAACCTGCCATATCTTTGATTGATAAAACATGAGTACCAGCTTTCACTAATTCATCAGCCAAATTTGTATAATATTTTAAATCGTATTTAGTTTTCGTTGGATCACTCACATCACCAGTATATGAAATAGCTGCTTCAACAACACCGCCAGCTTTACCAGCAGCTTCCATTCCTAAAATTAAGTTTGGCAAATAATTTAAGGAATCGAAAACCCTGAAGATATCCATTCCAGTTTGCACCTGAAAATAACAACTAATTAAAAAATCAATATAAACTTAAAAAATACAAATTTTTTCCAGAACTTAAAAAACTTACAGCCAGTTCACAAAATTTAAAAACTACATTATCTGGGTAATTTGTGTAGCCAACGGCGTTAGCACCTCTCAGTAACATTTGAAATGGTATGTTTGGGATTAAATTTCTCATCTCTTCTAAACGTTCCCACGGACATTCATGTAAGAAACGCAACGCAACATCAAATGTAGCACCACCCCAATTTTCTAACGCGTATAAATTGTTGAACTTATGGGCAACGTATGGGGAAATATTTAATAAATCAAAAGTACGAACTCTAGTAGCTAAAAGAGATTGATGGGCATCGCGGAATGTTGTATCCATAAGGAGCAAATTCGGTGTTTGGCGAACTTTTTTAGCAAATGCTTCCGGACCTTCACTCTTTAATATGTCACGCAATCCTTGCGGGGGTTTATTTACTGTTTCGATTTTGTTTAAATTAAAAAATCAATAAATAATAAATGATTTAAAATAGTAAGATTGCGTAGTAATATAAGTTTGAAATTTTTTTGAAATTACAGTATAGTTTAATTTGGACATCCACATTTAATAGAAATAAAAATTTATGTATATGTATGCAAAATACTTAACTAACTTACCACTATACTTATCTTACAATGTAAAGGTGTTAGTGTAATGAAATATGGGAAAGTTAATTACAAAATTATAGATAAAGTTAGAATTGTGTAAAATAAATCAAAACTTCCATTTAATATAAAAGAAATATACAATTGCTTCAAAATTTTAATTGTACGAGAAGTTCAATTGAAACAAAATTATCAGCAAAATTTAAAATTTTATATAAATGTGGAGCTAAATTTATAGCTGATATAATTGTGCATAACACTATTGAAAATTTAATATAAGTGTATAAATTCAATAATTTCATCTTCAGCAACATTAACTTTTAATTTTCTACCAATAACTTCATAAATAAATTCTGCTGAAATTCCGAAAGGTTCAGATACTTTAGCAATAATATCTTCCGTTTTAATAATATAGTTTTCTTTTAAAGGCTTCCTATAAACCAAAGATTTCCCCAATTTTTTTCGACACGGTAATTCACATGGCAATATTTCCTTACTAGAAACGTCTTTTAAACTCTGTCTAACTGAATTTTCATTCTCACATTTCAAAATTTTTATTATTTGTTCATCAGTTCTCATGATTTTTGTGTAACCTTGTTTCTCAAAATTCCGAATGCGTTCAACTAGCAATCTCATTTCTGTAGGATCTAGTGATACTGAATGATCTGAACCTTTTTGATTTTTATTTAATGTAAAATGTCTTTCAACAATTTTTGCTCCTAATAAAACAGCAATTTGAGATAATAAAATTCCTTTTTCATGCCCAGAGTAACCTATAACAACATTCGGAAATTTTTTTTTGAAAAGTTTTATCATTTTCAATGTCGAATCTTCTAAATTTGTCGGGTATGAAGAAACACAATGCAATAAAGCAAAATTTTTTTTACAATTATCGTTCATAATTTCTACAATTTTTTCAATTGTAATCATATTCTGCATTCCAGTTGAAATAATCAATGGGATATGGGTTTTAGCAGCGTCTTGTAATAGTTTGAAATTATTTGCATCGCCAGAACCAATTTTTATGAAAGATAATTGAAGATCAACCAATTGAGAAAGTGAAATCTAAAATCATTTTAAAAATACATATATTACAATAATTAGAAATTGTTTAAATTTAAAATTGACTTCATCCATGGCTGATGCAGAAAATATAAGACCTAATTGATTTGCAAAATTTCTTAGCTCTCCATATTGTTCTAAAGAAAATTCCAAAAACATTTTATGTTCTCCGTAAGTTTTTCCCCAAGAATTTTCGCCATTATAAGGACGTAATAACGCTTTACCAGTAAATTTTGTAGTGAGATGTGATTTTTGAAATTTAACGCAATTGCAGCCACATTCCTTAAAAAACAATTTTTTTAAAAAATACTTTAATCAAAACTTCAAGAGCTTGGAAAATATTCAATAACCTTTGCTGATAAAATCAATTTTTTAGCAACTTCAATAGAACCTTGATGATTTTGACCAATTTCAGCAATAATAAAAATTGGATTGTTTTCAGACCCAACAGAAATATTTTCAATTTTTAGAGCGCAATCATTTTTTTCCATCATTCCAATAAGAATGAAAAAAAGCAACTACTTTTGCGAGGTAAAATCGAGTACATATTACGATTCCACAAGTGAATGAACTTTTGTATTGTATTGAAATTTTAGTTGAATAATAATTATTCATTTGACTCCATTTCATTGCGACTTCATGTTAAATTGAGAGTAATAGAAAAGAAAATATGATATCAACAAATTAAAAAAGAAATAAGAATACAATCAAATTGACTAATATCCAATTAAATAAATTGCTCGAAATATTAAATTCAGTAAAGAAAGAAAAATTTATGATTGAAAGTAAAATTTATTTCACAAAATTACAAATATAAATAGTTAATATTTTAAATAAAGTTTGGTAATTCAAATGTTGTTTGATATAAAGCATAAAATTTTTTCTTGATTAAAACTTCAGTATTTCTAATATGATGGCGCATATTAAAATAAATAAATTGTATATTTCTAAAAATTAAATTGGAAAGTTAAAAAAAAAATTATAAAACAAAAAATGAGGGGCCATGTTTTTTTATTAACGTTTATTTTAAACAAACCCAAAAACATTAAGTTAAATTTTAATATCAAAAAAAATACTTTAAATTTTTTGATAAATAGTATAGTATGCTATTGTGTAAAACCGTCTAACCGAGTATTCATTCGATAATATTATAATGTAGACTTATTTATAAATTCACAACTTTTACTTAAAGATGCAAAGTTCCAACAATCCTATTTTACTATTTAGAAAATTTGAAAAAAAAAAACTTTAGTTCATTTTTTTCAAATTGTTGTTGACCTTGTCAACTCAGTGATACCGTACGAATCGCTATCCTATATGCGAATAAATATGTCAAAGCTGACTATTGGACAGACTATAACTTTAAGTTACCATGTTAATTTATACAAAATTTCAGTACTGTTCAATAATTCGGTACTATGCAATACTTTTGAATATTAGCTAAGATATGGTCAAACTAGTATTGAAGTTGTATGGCAGCTACCAGAAAGAGACAAGCAATTTCAACGAATTTTGTCTAACACATTGGCCCTACTAACATATTCACTTATGCTAAATTTCAATATCATAACTCTTATAGTTTCTAATATATTATAATCAAATAAATTTTAAAGTTGTATGGCAGCTACCAGAGGGAGCCAAGTAATTTCAACGACTTTTATCATACACATTAGCACTACTAATATATTCGTTTGTGTAAAATTTCAATACTACAGCTTTTATAGTTTCTGAGATATAGCCAAATAAATTTTGAAGTTGTATGGCAGCTACCCGAACCACTACCCCGATCATGTCAAATTTAAATAGAGTTCTGGCACTTACTACAATTAATCATTTGTGAAAATTTGGTGAACTTAACTCAATTAGTTTTTGAGTTATCGCTGGGACGGACAGACGGACGAAGGGACGGACGGGCAGACAGGCGGACAGACAAAGCTAAATCGACTCAGAATTCAACGCTGATCAAAAACATACACTTGAGTCTATATCGTCTTAGAGACCGTTATTTCTTAGCGTTACAAACGGTAAGGCAAATTTAGTATACCCTTCGAACATACGTTCGTACGGGTATAATGACAGAACACATTTAATTTATTAATCACGGTGATTTAAAAAAATCAAGAACTTTATTAAAAAGGGCTAGTTTTCGAAAATTTTATCTTTCTAAAAAAACCCAAATTTTAAGGGTTTCACCGAGCTATACGAAAAATGTATATAACGTAGTAAAGCTTGTGTAGCACTATCCTACTTTACTTAATTATTAATTATGACGAGAAAATTACTTATTTTACTTAATTATAGCGAGGAAATTTAGAACAAATATCATAGTATCAGTCTAAAACCAAAAAACTACTGCATTATTACTTAAAAATCTACTTTGAAATTTTGTTCACAGTTGAAAACATCACAGACATATTTTCCTAAGAATCATGCTAACTTTTCTAATATTAAATAATGACATTAAAACCTATACTCATTTTTAACATTCAGTTTCATTTTGGTATCGTTCAATGCATATTTTGTATTACTTAAATTTTCTGATAACTATAAACAATTCCCCATTACTAATCAAAATTGTAAATAACTATGATCCCTAAATTATATTGCCTTGGCTAAATTTGTAATTTAAAATTTTACAGTGACAATTTGCAACAAAAAGCTACATTATACCAACAGCTAATGTCTTTATATCTAACATTAGATATAAAGACATTACAACAGCTTCAAAATTATAGTAAAATAATAAAACATATAAAAAAAACATTTACCAGAAATGACAAGAAATGCAAATTACAGTTATAATAACAGCTTTTATGTTATTTTTGTTTACTCACTTGTTTCGCCTTTCTTCTCTCTTTCAATCGCTTCTTTTGACAAATCTTTAGATTACAGATTTTTTTTCATATGTGTGTGTTTTGTGTATTTTATGTATTTAATTTTATTAAATAAATTTAATAGTTTTTTTTAACAATTTAAAAAAAACGTAAATGGTTCCCAACAAAAGTTATAATTTAAAAAAGAAAAATAACATTTAATTAAATAAAAAAAAAATAAAATCTAAAATTAAAAAAAAATTAGTTAAAAAAGCAAATCAAAAAACGAAGTTGCGTGCAAATGATAGTTTTAAGTCAATGCGAAATTTGGTAACAATGAAATAAGTCTATTCTTGACTTCATACAAGTTTTATTTTGATACATTAAAGATATTTATTGGTTAAAGCAAATTAAATATTTATTTATTTTTAAAACAATTTATTTAATATGACGGAGCAAAGTTTATTTACTTTTAATTTCAATAAGAAATTTGATAACTAGAGAGTGATGATCACTCAACAAATATTTTTGTTACATTAAGTTAAGCAGAATTAAAAGACATTTAAATTTTAAAAAGTTTTTAATAAATGAATATTCTATGTATGTACATATACATAATATTGAAAATATAAAATAGTTAGGGCTTTTGAAAATTGGAGATTTTAAGAGACACTTAACTCGTTAAGTTTTTTTTCAGGGTCGTTAATTTACTTATTATATTACACTAAAGGAAACAAAAATTTGATTATGCTTAATAATTCAACACTTCGCGGACTTTTTTTTGTTAATTTTCTCTTTGGATTAGTTACAACAATTTTGTTAGAGGATTTTAATAAATATAAATATAAAAAAATGAGCAGGCTATTAAAGAGGCGCTTTGACTGAAATATCGACAATTTAAAAATAAAGCATAGTATAACTTTTTCTCACACCTTTTTCCGTGAACTTGTTCATTTTTTATATACATATTTGTTAAAAATTAAAATTTATAATTTTCTACATGAATTAAAGTTTGCTTTTTTCAATAATGTAACTCACCTAATGGAATTGTGGGTACATGTGGATGAATTTCAGCTGGTTTTAATTTTGTTGCCAATGGAGTCTGTGGACCATTCACTAACAAGGTACCAAGGTAATTTAATAATTTTTGTGCGCGATTTTGTGAAACTCTAAATTTAAATAATTGTGGATGTTCATCAATGAAATATGTATCTAAGACACCATGTAAAAATTTCTGATTTTCCAAAACATTCAATAAAAATGGAATATTCGTTTTAACGCCACGAATTCGAAATTCGCGCAAAGCACGAGTCATTTTGGCAGCTGAAGCTTGTAAATCTGATGCATGTGAAATAACCTTGACCAGCAAGGAGTCGTAATACGGTGATATAATAGCTCCAGCAAATGCGGATGCACTGTCCAAACGAATACCCATACCCTCACCAGAACGAAAAACTTCAATTCTACCACTGCTTGGTTGAAAATCATTAGCCGGATCTTCTGTTGTAACACGACATTGAATTGCATATCCTCGAGGTTTAATATTCTCTTGAGTATAACCAAGCTCTGGTAAGGTCATTCCTTCAGCAATACGTATTTGTGATTGAACTAAATCTATTCCTGTTATTTCTTCTGTTACTGTATGCTCAACTTGGAGCCTGAAAATATTCAATTAACTCACTTAATTTAATATATTTTAGGTGAAAAACCCAAAATTTACCTAGCGTTAACTTCAATAAAGTAAAAGTTTCCTTTTTCGTCACATAAGAACTCTACAGTACCAGCATTTTCATAGCCAACGTGTTTTGCTAATCGAACAGCTGCTTCGGTCATTTGGTCACGAATTTCTTTGGGTAACCGAGGGGCTGGTGCAATTTCAACAACTTTTTGATGACGTCTTTGTACTGAACAATCTCTTTCAAATAAATGCACAACATTTCCGGCTTTGTCACCCAACAGCTGTACCTCGATGTGACGTGGTCTCTCAACAAATTTTTCGATAAACATAGCTCCATTACCAAATGCAGCTTTTGCCTCAGAACTAGCACGCTCAAACATTTCACCTACTTCCTCCATTTTGCGAACAACTCTCATACCACGACCACCACCACCGTACGCAGCTTTGAATATAACTGGCAAACCATGTTTATTACAAAAGTCTATAGCCTCTTCCTTGGACGTAACTGGTCCATCTGTACCCGGAACTATTGGAACTTCAGCTTCAATTGCAGCTATTCTAGCTGCAACTTTATCACCCATCTGTTGCACAACTTTAGGTGTTGGCCCAATAAATCTTATTCCTGCATCAATAATAGCTTGTGCAAAATCAGCACGCTCTGATAAGAAACCATACCCAGGGTGAACTGCATCGACATTATTTTCTTTACATACACGAATAATTTCTGGTATATCTAAATAAGCTGCTACTGGTGGCAAGTCTTTTCCAACTAAGTACGCTTCATCAGCTTTTAAGCGATGCATATGCATTTTATCTTGCTCAGAATAAATTGCCACTGAGCGAATTCCTAATTCATTACAAGCACGAAACACGCGAATTGCAATTTCACCTCGATTTGCCACCAATACTGAACGGATTGGTTTATACTCAATCTAAAACGAAAAAACGAGTTTATTTCAAAATGTTTATATGATATTTTGACATTCAAATACCTCAGTTGAATATGCATTTTTATTTATTAACCATACACGAACAGCGGAACTTCGTTGACGTAGTAGCTTGATAGCTGAATGAGCACCGAATAATGACATCTCAAAGCAACAATCTCTGTAAAAGGAAAAAAAATAATTTTTGTCTGTAATATTGCAAAATAAATCTTATTATAATAAATCCATTCTTGTTATTATTCTAATCTTACTACAATAATTTAATCGAATCTGTGGAATTAAAAAAATATGTAAAATGAAAAATAATTTATAAAAGGAAATTCCTAGAATTTATAAACGCAATTTCAATTTTGACCCTTAAAATAAAACCTTATTAAGGAGCTTATCGAAAAGTATTAAAACTTTAACTAAACAATAAATTAATTTAGAAGTAATAAGTATTAGACAAATGGCATACAAAAAATTAGGCCAAATAATCAAAATATTTGGCCTAAATTTTGGCCTATTCGGTTAAATCCAAAAAAAAACTTTTATTCTAGACAAAACCAATAAAACTTTAATAAGTGCTAATTTGATATTAGTACTCGTATACTATAAACTATAAAGGGACACCCTAATAAAAAGAGAATACTAAAAAAAGGAAAACTGCAATATGTACTTCTGGTATTTTCGCAGTTACGAGTATTTATAATGTAAAATAACATTATAAATATTAAGTTTTTTCTTGAATATTATTTTCCTAAAAATATAAAAAATTAAACAGTTGTAACACAAATAAAAAAAATCTGATGTGGTCAGCACATAACCGACCGCATTGTGTATTGTCTAGTTCAGGGATGGGGAACCTTTTCTCTATATAAGGCCAAATTTTAGTCAATGCAAAATGAATCAGGCCGCAAAGTTTAAAAAAAGTCCAAAGGTTATAAATTTTTGCTTTGTGTAGGTTGATGAAAACAAAATTATGTCAGAATATAAAAAATAACATAAAACAGTTTATTTCATAAATAAAAATAGATAAATAAAAACAATAAATAAATTTTGAACTCAAACAAATGTGTGAAAGCATTTTTTTAAAATTATTGAAAAAGTTTACTAGCGTGGCATACAATTATTCTGAAAGAAGCCCGGACATAGGATTCAAATTTTAATATGGGTTTGTTTTCAAACAAATATGTATGTAAATTTTGAATTCAAACGTTGTTAGAAATTTCATGGCTTTGAATTTTCCAATTTTTAGTTTTCAAATTTGAAAGTTTATGTGCACGGTTTATTTTTCTAAATTTTTGATTTGTTTTCGAAAATTTGGCAGCAAAATTTTAATTTTTAAGAAATATAAGAAATAAATTTTTTTAAGGACAAAGGCCACTAAAAAACAGTTAAAAGGCCGCATGCGGCCTTAAGGCCGCAGGTTCCCCATGCCTGGTCTAGTTAAATGAAAGTGTTACAGAATATTATAAAAATGTCTGTTAAATACTTCTTTCCAATTTTTAGGACATTAGTAAGCTTATAGTTAACATACTTAGAAAAATGTAAATTTGGCTCTTAGTAGAGTTTCGCTTTGTGCTACTCGAATTCCCTGAAATGCTCGCCAGTTAGTTTGGGTAACAACCAGAACTCAAATATCAAATTTCAAGAAATTCCATCAATTTGTTCTGTGGATATGGTGAAAAATGTAAAATCGGCCCGCAAATCAGTTCTCGAGCCCTGATCTTTCCAAAAAAGTTATATGTTCATTGCTTTAATATGAGCAATTCATATATTAAATTTCAATGAAATCGGTTGATTATTTCTCTTTATATACACAAAAGTGTATGTTTGGCCCGTAGTAAACGTCTAGTTGCCGATGCCTGATCTTTCCAAAAAATTTACATGTTCATTATTTTAATACGGGGAATTTATATATTAAATTTCAATGAAATCGGTTGATTATTTCTCTTTATATACACAAAAATGTATATTTGGCCCGTAGTAAACGCCCAGTTGCTGATGCCTGATTTCTTCCAAAAGTTAGGAATTTTTGCGTATGATCGAGCAAAGCTTATATATGAAATTTCAAGTAAATCGGTTGAATACTTTCTTCAAAATGGTGAAAAATGTAAAATCGGCCCGCAAATCCGTTTTCGAGCCCTGATCTTTCCAAAAAATTTATATGTTCATTGTTTTAATACGAGGAGTTCATATATTAAATTTCAATGAAATCGGTTGATTATTTCTCTTTATATACACAAAAATGTATATTTGGCCCGTAGTAAACGTCTAGTTGCCGGTGCCTGATTTCTTCCAAAACATACGAATTTTTGCGGACGGTCGAGCTGAGCTTATATATAAAATTTCAAGTAAATCGGTTGAATACTTTCTTCAAAATGTTCAAAAATGTAAAACAGGCCCGCTAAAAAGTGCAGTTCCCGAGGCCTGATATACACCAAAAGTTGATCGATCCGTGCCATGGTGGAAACAAACTTACATATAAAATTTCATCAAAATCGCTTCAGCCGAACTTGAGATACACGCGTGCACACACAGACCGACAGACGGACAGACCGACAGACCGACAGACCGACAGACCGACAGACCGACAGACCGACAGACCGACAGACCGACAGACCGACAGGTTGCTAAAAATAGTTTATTTACACTTCCCTACTATGGAGAAGTACGTTCCCACCGAAAACTCGATATGCAAAATTTGTTGCCATCACATAACCTACCTATTGTTTACACAATACGGTCGGTAATTAGTATAAGCAACAAAAACTAACAGTATAGAAACACATAGTTTTTAAGTTAGTTTAATAAGTATTGTGTAAATAATTTTTTTTTTCAAACTTTTTTAGTTGTATATATTATATGTATACATATTTTAAGTACAAAAATTGAAATTTTATACCTCTCAGGCCTTGATTAGAAAAGAAGATGAATTGTATAATTAACAAAAAAAAATTCAACTTTATTTCGAATTCTAATTTTTCTTTGTACTGACAAACAAATATTATAGATGATATTTTTTCTAATTCAATTGCAAAAAAAAAATTTAAAATACATAATACAAATATTTTTTTGAGTTCCCGAGATAAGATAAATTTACCCCTTACTTTTGATAAGCGAAATTGAAAACTCATTATCGTTTTTTCATTGTGATGGAATATTTTTAGCCCAGGTAGCAAACAACGTTATGAATAATAACGGGAAGGATAATTTAATGTTTACCTATTTATAAAAAGAAGAGTTACTATAATATACTAACAACATTTATGAATTTTTTAGCTTTATTATATATAAAACAGTAAAATTGATTAAATCCTCCTATTAAAACTGAAAATAAATACACAACTACTGTAGTGAACAATCTTTTACTTTTGATGTTTTCTTATATGTATATGATAGTATCCAAATAGACAATAAAACAAGAAAAACAAATTATTATTCTATTATGACCACTAGTGCATATCGAAATTTTTCAATTAAAATTATAAAAAATTTGCTTAATAGGTAATAAATAAATATATTGTAGAAATATTTCGTTTATACCTGAAATGTATTTTTTCGGTAGGCTTAATATTATCGAATCATTTTTATCTATATGACAGAATTGAAAAAAACTATAGAAAACGTGAATGAAAAACATGGGTATAAAATAAAAAAAACAACGAATCATTCAATGGTGTCAAAGTTCAACAGTGTTATCAAACTATACTAATTTGCACAGACAACTTCTATTGAAAAATATTAAAAAACATTAAATATTCATGAAAGACGAAAGGACGTCATAAATACTTTGTTTTTTGACCACTTAATTAGCGGTCGAAAATATTTATGAAAAATTAAATTTAAGATTTTAAAAGTAAAACGAAGGAAAAATAAATTTAAAATTGAAGGTCAAAAGCTCATTCTTCTTATCAACAACATAATAAGTGTATTCATAAATATACGTACATATACATATATAAAAGTACGGTATAAGCGAAGATACAAACTCGCATTAATTGTTTCTACAATCCACCAGAAAATAAATTTAATCTCTATTATAATAATAGTAGAAAAGTAATAAGATTTGAAGAATCAGTTAATAATTTTTTTATTGATGATTATTTTGAAATGTGTTGCTGTTATATTAAAAAGAAACATGACATGACATAACATGAACATTATCATATTTCGATTTAAGAATCTTTAAATTTTAAGCAACCAGATGACGCGCAAATTGTAGATGAGGTGCTTATTATATTATAAAATTTTATAACTCATTTTTGAATTTTACTTTGAAATCTAATACACAAGATGTGTCTTAAATGCATTCGATAAATCTATAATTTCCCATTAAATTGAACACAGAAAAAGCATTTAAGATTTAATTCTTGCCTACTATTACTTTTTGGAACAAAAGCCCTAATCGCTCTGAAGTTAACACCGACATTCGAAAAAAAAAATTATTTTTTATAAGCCTTTACAAGAAAAACAACGAATAAATAATATTGTGCATTTGATTTCTAATTTACTCCGGCTCATTTTTTCATGGGCAATTAAATATAATACATTATAATTAATATTAAATAATATAATAGATTTTATTATACAATTATTATAAATATAATAATATAAGGAACAAAATATATAATTGGCAAATTCAAAATTTAAAGTATACGCACTAAACAAGAACCACAAAAAACATTAACATAAGCTTATACTATTCCTCAATAATTCTATAATCATTTAATAAAAAATAGTTCTAAATTTCGAATTTTTATATTTGAAATTTCAATATAAAATATATATATGTATGTACACACATTCAAATTAGTTATTGTTTTCATAAATTGAAAAGTAAATTACATATTGTCACTATTAGTTTTTATTTTATCGATTGGTTGATATGAGACAAAATAAACATAATCAATGAAATATGTAATAAAAAACATTAAACGTGCAGACATCAATATACAGATTAAAAAATATTATGGAAAAAAACTGCTGGTTTTTAATAATTTTTTTAAAAACGCTAGAGATATGAAATAATGAATAGGGTGCAAAAATCGTACGAGATTCACGAGATTTATGAAATATATTTAGGTTGCTTTTCATAATAAGAATAAGATATATGTAAAAGAAAAGTTACTTATACTGTAGCTCTCTTTTTACCGACCGTATTGTGTATACAATAGGTAGGTTATGTGATGGCAACAAATTTTTGCATATCTAGTTTTCGGTGGGAATGCACTTCTCCATAGTAGGGAATTGTAAATAAACTATTTTTAGCAACCTGTCGGTCTGTCGGTCTGTGTGTGCGCGCGTGTATCTCAAGTTCTGCTGAACCGATTTTGATGAAATTTTATATGTAAGTTTATTTCCACCATGGCACGGATTGATCAACTTTTGAGATATATCAGACCTCGGGAACTACACTTTTTAGCGGGCCTGTTTTACATTTTTGAACATTTTGAAGAAAATATTCAACCGATTTACTTGAAATTTTATATATAAGCTTTGCTCGACCGTCGGCAAAAATTCCTATGTTTTGGAAGAAATCAGGCATCGGCAACTAGATGTTTACTACAGGCCAAATATACATTTTTGTGTATATAAAGAGAAATAATTAACCGATTTCATTGAAATTTAATATATGAAACCCTTGTATTAAAACAATGAACATATAAATTTTTTGGAAAGATTAGGGCTCGAAAACTGATTTGCGGGCCGATTTTACATTTTTTACCATTTTGAAGAAAATATTCAACCGATTTACTTGAAATTTCATATGTAAGCTTTGCTCGACCGTCCGTGAAAATTTCTAACTTTTGGAAGAAATCAGACATCAGCAGAAGTATTTAAAAAACATTTTTATAATATTCTGTAACCCTTTCACTTAACTAGACAATACACAATGCGGTCGGTTATGTGCTGACCACATCAGATTTTTTTTTTAATATTATATTTCATAAACGACTATAGATAATAAAATTCAACTGAAATGTGATTCACTTTTTAATTTTCCACATGATTTTAGCGATATTGCAGAGACCTGCATGCTGTATGTATGTATGTATATGTACATAAGTATTTCAAAGAATTTTGAAATTATAGGACATATTTTTATTTTTACAATTATTTCACCACCTTTGTTTTACTATCGTTTTATTATTTATTTAATATTAGATTTAAAATCAGTAAATCTGTAAATATTCCAAAACTCAAACAAAGAATTTTGGCCAATTTTAATTAATTATAGACATTGAGAGAAAAATATCAAATCTTCGTTAATCCAAAAATTAGTGAAGCTAAGCTTGGAATATCCTATTATAAACATATACTGAAAAATTGTAATAAATACTTAAGATTCTATTTCAAAATTTTCAAATCGCAATATTACATATCGGCTTTTATCAAATTTTTATGAAATTATTCAATACTAAACTCATAACTTAAAAACTTCGAAAGAACATTTTTTATTAATTATGGACAACTTAACAAAAATATTCTTGGTATTATTATTATTACTATTTAATCTTATAATTTGCAAAAATAAATAATTTTTCAGTTTACTTTAAATTCATAGGCTCGCGCCAAAGAAACAAAAATAATAACAATCAGTATTATTTGTAAGAAAATAAAATGCTTAAATTGTTTGTAGCAAAGTGCAGTTATTTTATTTGCAAAATTAGTTTAATTTTCTTAAAAATGTCACAAAGTTATATACTTTTCAAATATTCTAATAAAAGCCGCTATTATCTGCTTAATTTAAAAATTTGATTTAATTACATACCTTCAAAATTAAGCTTATAGATTTATTTATGTTTAAAAATGTTTAATAAAAATTTTTCTTTTATCTTACAAAGAAAATTGTAAGGTTGAAACAGAAAGAATTCTTATATAATTTTAATTTAACTAGTTGAGAACAATGAGAGCTTGAACAAAACAAAAGTTGAGTTAACATTCGAAAGGTTTTTGCTACCGCTTAGTAATAAAAGAGTTCAATTTTTTATGACACACTTTTGATTATTTTAATATCCAATGTTCAACTTTTCATAGTATTTTTTTTTTATTTAATTTTTGAAAATTAATTTACATAATATTTGAACTTTGGAAATAAAATTTTTATAAATCAGAAAGTTCAATGTGCGTATTTATTATGCTATAGTGTTAGTACGAGTATATTTCGAGAAATTTATTTTTCAAAATAAAATCACATGTATAAATTATAACTTTTTTTTGCAATATGAAACTACAAGAAATTTTAATAAAATTTAAAACTATTAACTAATACATATAAGATAATTAAATATATTAAATAATATAATAAATCAATAAAATATACATATAAAATACAAAATGTAAAGAAAGTCTTTTCAAAATGAAAAAAATTTAAAAAATTTACTTTCAGTCTTTAATAAGTTGCATGGCATGCATTGATTTTGATTTTTTTTTGTAAATGTCAGTTTATTATAGAACATAATTGCGTTAAAATAATTACCGACCGTATTGTGTAAACAATAGGTAGGTAATGTGATGGCAACAAATTTTGCATATCGAGTTTTCGGTGGGAACGTACTTCTCCATAGTAGGGAAGTGTAAATAAACTATTTTTAGCAACCTGTCGGTCTGTCCGTCTGTCGGTCTGTCGGTCTGTGTGTGCGCGCGTGTATCTCAAGTTCGGCTGAACCGATTTTGATGAAATTTTATATGTAAGTTTGTTTCCACCATGGCACGGATCGATCAACTTTTGGTATATATCAGGCCTCGGGAACTGCACTTTTTAGCTGGCCTGTTTTACATTTTTGAACATTTTGAAGAAAATATTCAACCGATTTACTTGAAATTTTATATATAAGCTCAGCTCGACCATCCGCAAAAATTCGTATGTTTTGGAAGAAATCAGGCATCGGCAACTAGACGTTTACTACAGGCCAAATATACATTTTTGTGTATATAAAGAGAAATAATCAACCGATTTCATTGAAATTTAATATATGAACTCCTCGTATTAAAACAATGAACATATAAATTTTTTGGAAAGATCAGGCATCGGCAACTAGACGTTTACTACGGGCCAAACCTACACTTTTGTGTATATAAAGAGAAATAATCAACCGATTTCATTGAAATTTAATATATGAATTCCTCATATTAAAACAATGAACATGTAAATTTTTTGGAAAGATCAGGGCTCGAGAACTGATTTGCGGGCCGATTTTACATTTTTCACCATATCCACAGAACAAATTGATGGAATTTCTTGAAATTTGATATTTGAGTTCTGGTTGTTACCGAAACTAACTGGCGAGCATTTCAGGGAATTCGGGTAGCACAAAGCGAAACTCTACTAAGAGCCAAATTTACATTTTTCTAAGTATGTTAACTATAAGCTTACTAATGTCCTAAAAATTGGAAAGAAGTATTTAACAGACATTTTTATAATATTCTGTAACACTTTCATTTAACTAGACAATACACAATGCGGGCGGGTATGTGCTGACCACATCAGATTTTTTTTCTAATGGAGAAACCACAAAAGAAAAGGGACACAAACGAAGAAGTTCGACATATTACAATGTAAATAAAGTCTTTTCAAAATTAGTTTTTTTAATCTAATATTACGCAAAAATATAAAATGCAGCTACAATTGTTAAATTTAATACTTTACGTGGTAGCCCGTAGATTTGGGACAGCCCAAAGTCATCGTTTCATAGAAGTAGTCAATCTTTCCATATCATTTTAATCCGAAATTTTGGACAACTCTTCTATAATATGTTTTATAAGGTCATTTTTGGATTTTCGCCAAACTTTACTTCAAGTGGGCTCAAAAATTCTCAATTGGATTCAGGTGTGGACTTTGTGGGAGTGTTTCGAACACTTTTGGGCAGTCATGAAGCAAACAGCTTCTTACCAAATAAGATTTATGCTGCAAGCGGTTATACCAATAAAATTTATAATAACCAACAAAACCAAATTTTTCGACTTCGTTTACCAGGTTCGTTTTTAAAATGTTAAAAAACTTAACTTTACTTTTTTTAATGAAAAGACTTTCTTTACATTTTGTATATAAACTATTCTTAATAGATATTATAAATTTTTAACCCTTCTTTCCAGTTATGTATAGTATTACAGTACGCTAACCTACTCCCAACAGCTTAAATTTAAGAGATTGTAATAGACTAATAGAGGAATCATTGTCAAATTCCATCCAAAAAAAAAGATGATTTAAGTGTTCCTATAATGACAATATAAGTGATTAGTGATAATAATGAAAAAAGTTTAAAGTTTAAATTTTTAATCCCATGAAAACAGAAATAAAGAGAAATAATCAACCGATTTCATTGAAATTTAATATATGAATTCCTCATATTAAAACAATGAACATGTAAATTTTTTGGAAAGATCAGGGCTCGAGAACTGATTTGCGGGCCGATTTTACATTTTTCACCATATCCACAGAACAAATTGATGGAATTTCTTGAAATTTGATATTTGAGTTCTGGTTGTTACCGAAACTAACTGGCGAGCATTTCAGGGAATTCGGGTAGCACAAAGCGAAACTCTACTAAGAGCCAAATTTACATTTTTATATGCTTAACAAAAATGTTAGCAAACATCGCTTTCTTGCAACTATAAGTACCTTTTTAAGTTATTTATTAAGTTATTATAGCTTTATTAAAAATCTCACACCCACACAACTTTTTAACAAAAAAATATTTTATTAAATACAAAAAAATATTTTAAATAAATTTTAAGCAGTATACTGAATACGAAACTACATTTTAATTGTGCTAAACAATTGACATTTGAATTGACATTGAATTGCGCAAATTTTATGCGGTTGAAAATTCAAAATTTAGGACAAAAAATTTTAAGCAGATTTCTAAAGAAACCAGACATTAATAATACGTAATATTATAAAATTTAATGAATAAATTCTTATAACTAATACAAACTATTTAACATGTACTTAATTACGAGTACATATAAGTGAATAACAAAATGCATTACTTAATTATAAGTGAATTCATTGACCTTATAAAATCGAGTTTTGTATACATAACATGCATCTATGCATATACATGTTTATTAAGCATACACGTGAATATTTCAACGACAAACATACATTTCTTACAAGTGTAAGACATTGAATTTATGACATAATGATACTCATGCATTGTAAATGCATAACAAAAAATACAAAATTCAATAAGCAATAACTTTGAAATATATATAATGAAACAACATATGGTTTTTAAACAAGCGCATTTTATTTTTAACACTTCCAAAAAAATTTTGGAAAAAATTAGTTAGCTTATTAGTTTCACTTTGTCACTCCGTTCGTCCGTCCGTGAAAATGTTTGCATAACTTCTAAACCCTTGAAGATAGAAAGATGTAATTTTCTATATAAATAGATCTTTGCTAAAAATTAATTTCTGAAGAACAAAATTTTTACCTGCCTCCGTTCCCGCAAAAGTTATAACCCTTTTGAGCCTTAAAAATGCCATTTTTTGAAAAATAATGGTGGGCTTCTTTTACCGTGACATAGCATAGTTGATCTTCAAAAAATAAAATAACCGTTAATATTAACCGTTATCTAAAATCCGCTTTTTTTTGTCAAATTTTTAATATCGTTATTCTTCTAGACAGCAACATGTAAAAGCCTGAAATTCTGACCTATCAGCTTTTAGATGCTAACTAAATTAGAAAATTTTTTTCCACCACCAACCCTTCTCAAGTTATTACCCCTCGAAATTTGTAAAATTCGTATTTTCGGCACCCAAACTGCAAGCTTTTCAAAGTTTCTATAAAAGCAGAGAGCTACGGTAAATTCCAAGCCATTCAGCTTTCTACTTAACCTTTAAATTGGACTATGTTAATGATTCTGTTAACAACTTTCTCAATTTTTACTAAAAAAATTTAGAGTCGTTAATTGGATTATGTTAACGACTCTCTCAATTTTTTATACCCTGCACTTCGTGAAGGGTATATTAACTTTGGTATGGAGTTTGTAACTACTTGAAGGAGTCATCTGCGGTATGGACATATATATATATTCTTGCTCAGCGTAAAATTCTGCGTTGATTTAGACATGTCCGTCCGTCCGTCCGTCCGATCGCGCGATAACTCAAAAACGAATAATGCAATCGACACCAAACTTTCACAAGTTTTTTCTTTTGTGCCAAGGACGAACCCTATTGTTATTGGACTAAGTCGGACAACGGGTTCGGGTAGCTGCCATACAACTCCAAGAGTTTATTTTAAATATTTCAAAAACTAATAAAGCTATAAATATAAAATTTTGTATACGTGTGTCCAATTATATTCTACACATGCTCTAAAAATTATAATGGGATAGCTGCACCGGTTCGGGTGGCTGCCATACAACTCCAACAGCAAATTTTTTACATTCGGCAAAATAATAAAGTCAGATTCATGAAACTTGGCAGTCATGTGTCCAATTATAGGTCAAATATTTTTCAGAAGTTTTAGAGGAATTTCTTGACAGGTTCGGGTACCTGCCATACAACTCCAGAAGCTAATTTTAAATATTTGGAAAAATAACAAAGTCAGATTCATGAAACTTGGCAGTCATGTGTCCAATTATGGGTCAAATATATTTCTGAAGTTTTGGTGGAATTGCTTGACAGGTTCGAGTAGCTCCCATACAAGTCTAAAAGCTTATTTTAAATATTTGGAAAAATGATAAAGTCAACTTCATGAGACTTGGCAGTCGTGTGTCCAATTATAGGTCAGACATATTTCTAAAGTTTTGGTGGGATTGCTTGACAGGTTCGAGTAGCTCCCATACAAGTCTAAAAGCTTATTCTTAATATTTGGAAAAATAATAAAGTCAGATTAATGAAACTTGGCAGTTGTGTGTCCGATTATAAATCAGATATATTTGTGAAGTTTTGATGGAATTGCTTGACAGGTTCAGGTACTTGCCATACAACTCCAAAAGCTTATTTTACATATTTGGAAAAATAATAAAGTCAGATTCATGACACTTGGCAGTTGTGTGTCCGATTATAGATCAGATATATTTGTGAAGTTTTAGTGGAATTGCTTGACAGGTTCGGGTACTTGCCATACAACTCCAAAAGCTTATTTGACATATTTGGAGAAATAATAAAGTCAGATTCATGAAACTTGGCAGTTGTATGTCGAGTTATAGGACACATATATTTCTGAAGTTCTGGTAGAATTGCTTAACAGGTTCGAGTAGATTCCACACAAGTCTAAGAGCTTATTCTTAATATTTGGAGAAATAATAAAGTTAAATTTATGAAACTTGGCAGTTGTGTGTCCGATTATAGATCAGATATATTTGTGAAGTTTTAGTGGAATTGCTTGACAGATTCGGGTACTTGCCACACAACTCCAAAAGCTTATTTTACATATTTGGAAAAATAATAAAGTCAGATTCATGAAACTTGGCATTTGTATGTCGAGTTATAGGTCACATATATTTCTGAAGTTTTGGTGGAATTGCTTAACAGGTTCGAGTAGATCCCCTACAAGTCTAAAAGCTTATTCTTAATATTTGGAAAAACAATAAAGTCAGATTCATGAAACTTGGCAGTCGGATGTCCAATTATAGGTCAGACGTGTCCGTGAAGTTTCTATAGAATGATTTCACAGGTTCGAGTAATTGCTACACAATAACGAAAGGTGCAGGGTATAATTCAATCGGTTTATATCGACTGAAACGTTTTTACTTGTTTTTAACTTCAATTTAAATATATGTAATCTTAAATACTTGGTTATAAAAGAAAGTAATTTAAATATTAAGGAAAAGTGTTTGTCCCAATTTTATTTTTAATCACTTTTTGTAAATAACATTTTAATGCAAGAAGTTCTTTCTTCAAGAATGGTCTTTATTATTCTCTTGGTCCTTATCATAATGAATCTGTCATGTTCATGTATTTATACCCGTACGAACGTATGTTCGAAGGGTTTACTAAATTTCCCTTACCGTTTGTAACGCTAAGAAATAATGGTCTGAGATATAGACTAAAGTGCATGTTTTTGATCAGCGACGAATTCTGAGTCGATTCAACTTTGTCCGTCCGACTTTCTGTCCTTTCGTCCCACCGATAACTCAAAAAGTAATTGAGATAATTTTACCAAATTTTCACAAATAGTTCATTATAGTAAATGTCAGAACCCTATTTAAATTGGATATGATCGGGGTACTGATTCGGGTAGCTGGCATACATCTTCAAAATTTATTTGACTATATCTCAGAAACTATAAGAGCTGCGATATTCAAATTTCACACAAGCGAATATATTAGTAGGGTCAATGTATTTGATAAAATTCGTTGAAATTGCTTGGCTCCTTCTGGTAGCTGTCATACAACTTCAACAGTAGTTTGGCCATATCTAAGAAAATATTAAAAATTACTGAGCAGTACTGAAATTTTGCATATACTAATATAGTAATATGGCAACTTAAAGTGATAGTTTGTTCCATAGTCGGATATGACATATTTATTCGTACATAGGATAACAAATTCGTACGGGTATCACAGAGTTGACACGGTCAACTCTATTTTTTCTTGTTTCATTTATTTTTTTTAATAAAAGGCGAAATAAATTTAAGTGATACTTTCTGCATAATACTATATCTAATAGAATTACTATATATAAGGTCCTAACCAAGAAACACTAAGTTTATTAGATTTACTTTTATTTTTTAACAAAACTTTATCAACTGCTTGAAAGTTTCTGAATTTTGCTTTTTTTTCAAAATAAGCTTATTTGAGTCTTTCTTTTAATAAGTTTTGTGAAAATAGATATCGAAGTCTAACGATTAAATCTTGTAAATAATCATCATAATAGCGTATAGTAAAATTATTATTTGAAATAGAAGGCATACTTGGTTGAAACCGATAATTCATGAACCGGCAAAACTAATTCGTTGAAGAATGAAGCGTAGTATTATAAGCAAGCATTTTCTTTTCCTTATTCCCCTTGGGAGCATGGGGA